ACTGATTACTCTTGGTGGCCCCAATGGAGAATCATATCCCCTGCCTTTTTCAGCTTCTTATTCTTTTGATTGGTGGCCCCACCCTCAACTAGAAGGCACATTAATAACTGCTTCCGTCATCATACCACCTTCTCTGCTAATTTACTTCTCCTGTGCCTCCTCCCCTTTTTAGACAGTTTCCCTATGTACTCCAGGATGGCCTTGAATTCATAGCAATCTTCCTGCCTCAGCCTCCCAAGTGCTGGGATTACACATGTGTGCAACCACTCCAGGCTATCTGTGCCCCTTATAAAGATCCTTGTGATTACATAGGCCAGACCCAGATAATCTAGGACAATCTCCCCATCTCAAATTCCTTAATTTACTCTGATCTTCATAGTTTCTTTTGCCATATAAGGTAACAAAGATTCTGAAGGTTAGGATGTAGACATATTGGGAGTCATAATTTAACTTTATTTCACATTTACCTCATTTGTTCATTTATTCATAAAATATGTATGTATGTATTTATATGCATGTATGTATTGGTACCAGGGACTGCACCCAGAGAGTGTTGAGTTACACACCAGTACCCTGTTCCTTTTTTGACAAGGTCATGCTAAACTGCTCAAGTTGGCCTCAAACTTGTGATCCTCCTGTCTCAGCCTCCTGAGTAGCTGGAGTTATAGGCAAGCTACACTCCACTTGGCTCATGAAGTATTTATTGAACAAGACCTACATTTCAGGCATTGTAGCATGTGTTTGAAAAACAGAAATTAAAATAAAGACAACGCCTCTGCTTCCATGAAATTTATATTCTAGTGGAGAGGTCAAGTGAATAAGTTGCTAAGATATTTAAAAACAGTAACACAGTCTTTTAGAGTAAGTAGTGTGATATAATAAAAACAAATGACAAGGATTGGTGATGACTGTTTTAGGAAAGATGACTAATCCACAGGGTGGAACTGGGAGTCCAGATTTTAGGCCTTTTAACCCAAGAGAATTTTCTCTGTTGGATTTTGAAATCGCTTTGGATTGTGACTCCTTTTTGCTTTCCATCTGCCCCTACCCTTTTCTTCTTCCTTCTTTTTATTTTTCCTCCCCCTTCTTCTTTTTCCTCTTCCTCTTCTTTTTTTTTTGTCTTTTTCCTTTTTATTGGTACCAGGGATCGAACTCACGACTGCCTGCTTGCAAGGCAGGCGCTTATGCCGCTGAGCTAAATCCCCAGCCCTTCCTCTTCTTTTTTTTTATTGGAACCAGAAAGCAAACTCAGGACCTTATGCTTGCCTGGCAGGCACCATGCCACTGAGCTGTATCCCCACCCCTCAGATGTCCCTTCTTTGAACTGGATTGTATTAACTGTTGTCCTGTGCCCGCACTGCCAGCATGTGTTGCCAGGAGCACAGGACTCATTTCTTTAGTGCCAAAGGTGAAGAATTATGCTCAGGATGGACTGTACCCAAAGCCTCATCTGTATCTGATTTACATGATGAAATTTTGATGAGTTTTTTTTTTTAACTTTGACTTCTTGCTGTAAGAGAATGAGAATTTTAGGAATGTATTTTACATGTGGGACACATTTGAACCCAAGGCCATTTTTAATTCTGTCAATAATTTGGATGAGTCTAGAAGTGAATTCTATACCAGGGATCCATTAAGAGCCCAGGATGTTCAACACTTTGGCTTAGCTTCCTGAGACCAAAATGGAGAACTCAGTCAAAAGCCTGGATTTCTGGCCTATAGAACTATGAGAAAATAATTGGGTACTATTTTAAGATGCTAAATATGTGGTAGTTTATTGTGCAACAACAGAAACAAGTCCTGTGGCATGCTAGTGCCTGACTGTGGTCCCAGCTACTCATGAGGTTGAGACGAAAGGGTCATAAGCTTGACCAGCCTGGACAATTTAGCAAGACCCTGACCCCCCTAACCTATAAAAAAGCAGAAGGAGGAAGAAAAGAGAAAAAAAATTAATCTAGTGACATTCAAACTGAGATGAACATCATGGGCTACTCTATGGCAGTGGGTCCCACCCATCCCCAGGGCACAGCAAAGGCAAAGGTCCCAAAATTGGGAACAAAGAAACAAATCAACAGATTGTTCAGGCTGGATCATGCTTTGTGGAAGAAGTGGGTGGGAGATGAGGTTTTGGCTGGGGTGGAGACTGAAAAGAAGGCAGCCTCCAGGAAGAGATTGCAGTTGTGAGTGGGCTGTGTTGTCAGTTCAGAACTGGATTTGAATCTCTTCAGCTGAATCCAAAATAAATGCCCTGCCAGTAGATTCTGCAGCCTCCAGCCTCAGCCTCAGCCCATCCTAGCACATGCTCCTGTGAGAAGCCTTGTTTCTGCCTGTCTGCTTGTCCCTCAACCTGTCTGTTTCTTTTTTTCCCTCCTTGCGTCCTTCCTTTCTGTGCCAGGGATGAACACAGTGTCTTGGGTGAGCCCTGATTCATTTAGTCACTTGGCAAGGGAGGGGATGACCACAGTGCACTGTACAGACTGAAAGCTGCTGCCAGGGCTTCTGATTCTGCATTTCCAAGATGCATCTACAACCTGAGAAAGACGTGCAGGGGGACTGGGGAGGTAAGGGATGTGGGACAGAAGAAAAGTGAGGTACAGAAGTCAGACTGTCTAGATGTCACCCAGATAACAAAACTGGGCAAAGACACCACAAGAACACAACAGAATAATATGAATACAGTCATAAATATCACAAATAAAATACTAGTAATACATTAAAAATATTATAGAGCATGGCCAAATGGGGTTAATTCCAGGAATACAGGATGGCTAAACATCCCAAAAACAATTAATTTAATTTAATACAGATTAAGCCATATGCACATTTACATGGATTCAGGAATTTTTATTTATTTATTTGTTTTTAGTACTGGGAACTGAATGCAGGGCCTTCACACTGAGCTACATTTCCAGCTTTTGTGTGTGTGTGTGTGTGTGTGTGTGTGTGTGTGTGATAGCATCTGGTTAAGTGCCCAGGCTGGGCTTGATCTTTTTTTTTTTTTCCAATTTTTTAAACAGGGTCTCACCATGTAATTCATGATAGCCTACATTGGTTTTGAAATCTTGCAGTCCTGCCTCTTCAGGCTTTCAAGTGCTGGGATTACAGGTATGTGCCATGCCCAGTACAAGGTTGCTCACCCCTTTATAATCTGTGCTAAAAGTTCCAGCCTGATAAATTAGGCATGAAAAGAAATAAAAGCTGCCCTGATTGGAAAGGAAGATGTAAACTATCTCTGTTTATAGATAGTATGACCTTGTATGAAAATCCTCAGGGATACGCAATACACACACACAACTATTAGAGCTAATAAACAAGTTCAGCAAGATTGTAAAATATAAGATATATAAAAATATACTGTATTTTCATAACTAGCAACAAAAATCCAAAAATGAAAAAAGCAACTCATTTACAATAGTGACAAAAGAATAAAAATTTTTGATATAAAGTTAATCAGGTATAAGATTTGTTCACTGAAAATACTGCTGCAAGAACTTGAAGCTCAAGACCCTGTTCTCTGGCCCGGTGGCCCCCCTTCAGGCTGTAGGCTGGACTTCACTTCTTACGGTCACTTGCCCCAAACTAGTTCTGCAGAGCCTATTTATTTTCCTACACTTAATAAAACTTTGGTATGGTTAAAAAAAAAAAAGATGTAACTAAATGAAAAAACATCTCATGCTTACAGGTTAGAAGATGTAATGTTAGGATGTCAACATTCCTGAAATGGATCAATTAATCCAGTCAATCCGTATCAAAATCCTGTCTAGCTTTTACTTCTCCCAAGGCAAAAATTGATAAGCTGATAGTAAAATTCAAATGGAAGGGCAAGGGACCCAAAGAAGAAATAATCTTGAAATAGAAGAAAAAGTTGGATGACTCATTGGTCCTGATTTCAAAATTTACAAGAAAGCTACAGCTGGGTGTGGTGGTACACAATTGTAATCCCAGCATTTGGGAGACAGGCAGGAAGATGACTGTGAAATGGAGGCCAGTCTAGGCTACGTAGTGAGGTCAAGGCCACAGTGAGACCTTGTTTTACACACACACACACACACACACACACACACACACACACACACACGTGGTACTAGCATAAAGACAGCTATAAAGACCAATGGAATTAATTGAAACTAAGGGGGTACCTCTCTCTAGAGGGCCCAAACTCTATTTAAGTATGTACTTTTAAATTCTGTCCCCCCAAAACCTCTTTATGCCTCTCAAACAATAAATAAAGTTCACTACAGGGGAGAAACCCTTCATTTATTTTTTTTTCAACAAGGATATGAAGACAATTCAATAGAGAAGTCTTTTCAACAAACACTGACTTTAAAAAAATCTACCAAAATTAACAATAATAAAAACCCAAATACTGCTGGGACAATTGCATATCCACATACAAAAGATGAAAGAATAAATCTGTAGCCCCAGCACTTGTGAGGCTAATGCAGGAGAAGCACCAAAGTCCAAAGTCAGCATAGTAAGTTTAAAGCCAGCCTCAACTACATGGTGAGAACCTGTGTCAAAAAACCAAAACCGGAGCCGGGCGTGGTGGCTCACGCCTCTAATCCCAGCACTCAGGCAGGAGGATCATTGCAAATTCCAGGCCAGCCTGGGCTACAAAGTGAGCTTAAAGCCTGCCCAAACTGCAAAGACAGACCCTGTCTCAAAAAGACAAACAAACAAACAAACAAACCCAATGCCCGGGCTGGGGAGTAAGCTCAGCAGCATAAGTGCCTGCCTTGCAAGCGCGCCGTGAGTTCAATTCCTGGTACAAAAAAAAAAAAAAAAAAACCAAAAAAACCCCAAAGTCAATTAATCAGCCAACACATAAATAAATATGGGGAGGCACTTCAGTTCAAAGGCTTTGAAATCAATTCCCAGTAAAGCATACACACATGCAAGTATTCATACATTATTTGAGAAAAGAGTAAGGTATGGATATAAGTCATTCAATGAATGAAACCACAATGCTAACTGAAAGAGTCACAAAAGACCACATATGGTATGATTCATTCCATTTACTTGAAATGTCTTGAATAGACAAATTCATAGATAGAAATTGGATCAGGGATTCCTTAGGGATAAGGGGTTTCTAGTAGTGAGGAATAAGGAGTGTGACAAGTGGTTTGCAGAGGTTTTTTAGGGATAAAAAATTGCTCTAAAATTAGACTGTGATGCTGCAGAACCTTGTGAATAAACCAGAAACCAAAGTTGTCTGCTTCCAACAGGTTAATTTTATGGTATGCGAACTACATCTTAACAAAGCTGTTAAAATCATTTTTAAGTCACACTAAATGTTTCTTCGGGGAACTCAGGTATGAAACACCTGGAGTGTCACAAGAAAAGAGGAGTTTCCGAGCCTAGAAAGGACTAATAATCTTGAACATTTGTGGGGCTCATTTCACCCTTCATTGTAGCTAGATTAGCTAGATACCCAAAGCTATCTATTGATATATATATATATATATATATATATATATATATATAATATATATATAAAATATATATTATATATATACAGTCATCTCACCAAGTTTTAAAAATGTGATTTATTTTGCAGTGCTGAGGACCAAACTCAGGACCTTTAGCAGGCTAGGCCAGCACTGTATCCTTAAGCTATGCCCTCAGCCTTGAAGATCCCTTTTAAAACTGGTATCTGAGGGTCTAGGCATGACGGTCCCTGCCATCAGAGGGACACTTGCTACTTTTGCTCCTTGCCTGTGTATCTGTCTTGAGCTACAGCCAACTGCCACAATGTCCCCACTGGCACATGGGCCTGGAGATATTACTTCTTGCCACTGCAACACAGGAGACCCCAAATCTTGAGATAAGAGCACAGAAAAGAAGTTCAGCTGCGCATATTAACCTTTGGCTTTTCTTGGTATATAAACAGAGGCCCTACTAGCTAGGAGTGATAACCTGGAATCAGTTCTTGAGTATCCTAGAGACAGTTTGAGAATTTGAGAGCTATGTACAACTTGGCCCAAAGAGAAGTATACTAACTACATAACTATGCCTTTTTTTCCTCCTAAATCTTATCTGTACTTTGTTTTTTCCATGACATACTTTTTGAATTTTATTTTTTTGTATCAGGAATTAAATTCACGACCTTGCACTTGCCAGGCAGGCACTGTACCACTGAGTTACATCCACAGCCTACTTTTTAAATTTTTAATGGTGCTAGAGACTGAACTTGAAGCCTTACACTAACTTTTTTTCTTTTTCTTTTTTTGTTTTGTTTTGTTTTGTTTTGTTTACTGGTACCAGGGATCCAACTCACGACCACACACTTGCAAGGCAGGAGCTTATGCTGTTGAGCTAAATCCCCAGTCCTTTTTTTGCGTTTTTTTTTTGTCTTTTTCATTTTTATCGGTACCAAGGATCGAACTCATGACCGCTTGCTTGCAAGGCAGGTGCTTATGCCGCTGAGCTAAATCCCCAGCCCCTTTTTTGAGACAGAGTTTTGCTGTACAGTTCAGGATGGCCTTGAACTCTGATCCTCCTGCCTCAGCCTCTCTCAGTGCTGGGATTACCAGTGTGAGTCACTATACCCAGCCATTCACACTGACTTTCAAGGAAAGCTACTTAACGTTTTCCTTTTCCTATTTATTTGAACAATAATTTATCATAAATTCACAGAAATATTTAGGGCTGCTTCTGAATCCCTCCTCCATTGCTAAATTTATTTTTGTGCCAGTGATATCCTGTTTTTATCCCACTGCTTTGATGTTTTGATTACCCAGTATGTCAAATATTGCCTTTACTGTTTATGGACAATGTATTGTGAACTACAGGGTTTAGATTAGCCGTAGGCTAAGTGCAAGGTACCAAAAAAAAAAAAAGATTAGCAGTAGGGTTTGTCCTTAGCCTGCAGAAGATTCTGGGTTCAGTTTTCAGCACATACACAAAAATGTACTGTTGTGGATTTTTAAATTGTATTAAAAAAACTTTTAGAATACTAAAAATTCAAAGATTAAACGGGTAGGAAAATCAACATCATTTGGAAACAACTTTCCATTCAGTTACATAGTTTGTTGTTCCCATGTACTTAGGTTTTATATTTCAGGCCAGATATATAATTTTCTTTATATAGATTTTATACCTTCCTTTCCTTTTCTTTCTTTGTTTCCTTCCTTCCTTCCTTCCTTCCTTTCTTTCTTACTCATGACCTTGTGCTTGCCAGACAGGCGCCTGTGCTACTGAGCTAAATGCCTGGACCTTACACATTTCTCATGAGTTGTATTCTTTTTGTTGTTGCTATAGGAACCTTTTTTCTTTGAAGTGTATTTTTTGATTTGTTACTGTAATATACACGAGTTTTTGGCCTTTGGTTATCATCTATAAAACTATTCAGTGCTGAGGCAGAAGGACTGCCTTAAGTATGAGGCCACGGGGGTATAGAGTGAGTTCAAAGCCAGCCTGAACTGCATAGTGCTCTCTCTTTTTTTTCTTTTCTTTTTTTTTTTTTTGTCTTTTTCGTTTTTATCGGTACCAGGGATCAAACTCAGGACTGCCTGCTTTCAATGCAGGTGCTTATGCCGCTGAGCTAAATCCCCAGCCCAATGCTCTCTCAAAACAAAACAAAAAACGAACAAACAACCCCCCCCCAAACCACTACTCAGTAAAAGGCTTCCACGGTCATGTAAGTATGGGCTAAACAAAGCTAAATATGATTTGTTCCCTGCAGGACTTCTTTTTTCCTGGGGTTCAAACCCAGAGGGTACCGAGCTACATTCCTAGCCTATTTTTTTATTCTAAGTCTTCCTGAATTGCCCAGACTGTCCTCAACCTTCTAGGTAGCTGGGATGTGTATACCACTCCTGGTTTGATGCTTTTAATAAAATTTTTCAAGAAATAGGGAACTTTCTGTACTTGGCAATAGAATCCTTTGTCAGAAGACATCCCAAAACATACTTTGGGAAACAATACATCTAAAGATTGGTCTTAAGATGTATTGGGATCTCCACTGAACCACAGAACACAGAAGATAGTCCAGTGTCAAAGTGAATGCTTTAATGAGTGTTTGGAGAAAATCCTGTCTCTCACAGCTGCTGTATTAAGCTTTTACTGTGCCCACCCCTTTGCTTTGCGGCAGGTGAGCTAGATGTTCAGGGGCAGAGATCTGGAGTCTAAAGACTCCAGGGGTGGACAAAGCCGTCCGAGGCTTCTGTAGGGGAAAGGTACTCCAGGAGGGAGTGTGGTGCAGGGGACCATAGGCTTCAGGCTGGCCCCTCTTCAGGCATTCCTAGCAAAGCCACAAGCGGTTCCAGCGGTATGGGGGTCCCTACGGGCACAGGGTGAGTGCGTTCATGCTTGCGCAGGTCACTGGCACTTAAGAAAGCCTTGGGGCAGTGGGGACAGGCATGGGGGCGCACTGAGCTATGAGTGCGGCTGTGCTTACGCAGCCCTGCCCTATCTGAGAAACTCTTGCCACACTGCGTACAGGGGAAGGGCCGGAGCTCAGGGTGTGAGCGCTCGTGCCGACGCAGCAAGGTCAGCGTGGGGAAGGTTTCTTTGCACTCACGACAAGTAAACTGGGGTGGCTTCTCATCAGCCTCCTCAACCCCGGCCAATCCTAAGGGACCTGCAGCCTCCCCGACGCCTGAGCCCTGGCATTCCACATGCTCCACCGTCATTCCTACCACTTGCCACTGCGTGGCCATCACCGTGCTGGACTCGGGGGGCAGCCCCAGCAGCCCAGTTGGAGGATCCCCGAGGCTTGTGGTTGTACCTGGGGCAGCCGGGCCCTCACCTGTCACATTGACTGGCAGTGCCAACCCTACCACCAGCTCTGGTGTGGTAGCCTCACTGCTCCGGTGGGTCCGCTCGTGCTTCCGGAGGCTGGACGACACCACAAAGGACTTCCCGCAGGCGCCACAGTGGAACGGGCGCTCGCCTGAGTGAACGCGGCTGTGCTTGGTCAGGCTGGCACGCTCGGCGAAGGCACGCCCACACTCCTCGCAGCGGAAGGGTCGCTGGCCCGAATGCACCAGGGCATGCCGCTTGAGGTCCCAGGAAGCTACAAATGTCTTGTCACACTGCAGGCACTTAAAGGGCCGGTCGCCTGTGTGCACGCGCCGGTGCATGGCCAGGTCTGCCGGCTGTCGGAAGTCCTTGCCACACTTGTCACAGCGGTAGGGCTTCACGCCTTCGTGTGCGCGCTGGTGGCGCCGGAAGCTAGAGGGGTCGGAGAACATGCGGCCGCAGCGTGGGCACAGGAAGGGCTTCTCCCCGGAGTGCGTGCGCTCGTGGCTCTGGTAAGAGCTGAGCTGTGTGAAGCCCTTGCCGCAGGCGGGGCAGCGGTAGGGCTTCTGTGCCGCGTGGATACGTTGATGGCAGGTAAGAGACGAAGAGCGGGAGAAGCTCTTCCCGCACTCAGAGCAAAGGAAGGGGCGCTCCCCAGTGTGGGACCTGTAGGGGCAGGAAGGGTTGGATGTGAAGGTGAAGGCGCCTTGCTCCCTATTGGGCTGTGACCCAACACACTGCTGGGTTCCTCAGCCTGACCCACTAAGGGCTATGCTCAAGAGTTAAGAAACCTTCGGGAAAGACCTCTATGCTCATCACAAACGCGTACAAAGGAGGTCTTACTCACACGGCACCCCAAGACCAAAAACTGCCCTACTGCTGGGCAGATCTGAAACCTACACTAATGGACCCCACCCTTCAAGGCTCCATCTCAAAGTGCTCCCTCAACTAGGGGCACCGGCTTGTCCTTGCCTCCCACCTTCTATAGCTCCTCTGCCCCTCACCCCATTAGCTACTAGTCCTGCAGTCATCAAGGACAGCAAGCGTACCGCTCATGGTTTCGCAGGTCCTTGAGCTCCGCGTATGCCTTGCCGCAGCGCTCGCAGCCATAGGGTCGCAGGCCTGCATGTGTGCGCCGGTGCTTGCGAAAAACCGAGGGATCAGCGAAGCTCTTGCCACAGTCAGTGCAGGCGTAGGGCCGCTCGCCCGTGTGACCGCGCTGGTGGATCTTGAGCTTGGAGAGCGCACCGTAGGCCTTGGGGCAATGCGCACACCGGAATGGCAGCTCGCCTGCGTGCGAGGCCAAATGCACGCGCAGGCATACGGGCTGCATGAAGCGGCGACCGCACTCTGGACATGGGAAGGGCTTCTCACCCGTGTGGCTGCGCCCGTGGCTGCGGAGCTCGGGTGCTGTCTTATACGCCTTGGGGCACAGTGGGCATGCATAAGGCCGAGGCTTTGCCACTGAGCCTGACCCTTTATCCCCACTGCCTTCTTCCTTGGCTTCAGTGTCCTGCTTTGGCTTTACCTCTACTACCTTCTCGGCACGGTCAGCAGGCACATGCGTGGCAGCATGGCGTGCGGCCCTGGGAGCGTTTGGAAATGTCTTGGTGCAGAGCAGGCACTTATAGCGGCGGCCACAGCGCTTGTACCCAGCAGCTGGGGACCCAGTCTCGGTAGCTTCCACCTCCATGACTTTGGTGGGTGGGGCTTCTCTGTAAGACAATCAAATTAGGCCAAAGACAAATTCCTTCCCTATTCTTCAAGGTCTGTGTTCACCAAAGGCTTCTCAGGGCCTTAGAGGGAATTTATCTCATCACATTTCTCACCTGGCATGTAACCACAAAAGCAAACCAGGGGAATCCCACAGCTTCCCTACCAACCATTCCTGGCTCTGACAGTCTGAGTTTTTTTGTTCTGCTAAGGGTAGGAGTGAATATAGTGAGGGCACATGGGGCTAAGAAAGAGGGCTGACATTAGAAAAGGGCCACCTGTACTTCCCTCCCCAACCTCTGGGCTTTTCTAATACTATGGCATTCCCAGAATGCCTCAGTTCCATCTTTTTCATCATTCTACTCTTCAGCTCAGGGTCCAAGGTCTTGCAGGATGCAGGTCCTGTGCCAGGTGACAGAGGCAGAAGGTAACAAGCTGTGGGCCTGGCCCAATCTCTAGATATCCAGGGATGAGAGTCCTAGGTCCAGATGATGGTTACATGGAGTAGCTGGCACTGTGTGGCAGTGATAGGCCTCTGGTTGGTCAGCTGTCAGAAATGCAGCACACAAAGAATTCTGGCATTGCACAGTGGAAGAGACTCCACCCCAAAAGGGAATTCTAGTCCAGTCTCGGCTTTGGAATCTCTGCTGGGCTCCTGTTCCCGTAACTCTGGTATGGGGAGTTCACTCTCTCAGTGTGAGCTATTGCTAGCAGCCAGAAGCCTCTTTCTCAGTCATAATCTACGTATCTGATCCAGTGAGGCCTCCTGGGATACCAGCTCTAACTAAGGTCCCTACTTTCTGCTCCGAGTTTAGAGTGTCCACTTCACTGCTCCTGGGATCATGATTGAGAGGAAATAGGATTAAAGGCTGCATTAGCTTTAATACCAGCTCATCCTCCCAGGGGATGAACAGAAGAGGATTACAGCAGATCCACTTAAGGAGAGCACAGCAGCTGCAGCGGAGGGAGCAGGCTGACAGCAGGGAGAACAGCCAGGTGTGCCCAGAAGTTAGGAGACCTACACTCTACTGTCAGCCCTTGGGATAACTTACCGTGAAGTGTCAGTGAAATCAGTAGTTGTTTTAGGCCTGTTTTCTTTGTGCACCTCTGTGGTTGGAGGTTTCTGACACTGAGATTGAGGAGGAGAGTGGAGCAGAGCTGAGACAGGAGGGTGCTGAGGGAAATACGGAAAAAGGCAAGAGCACCACTTATCTAGTAATCCAGGAGCCCCTCCAGTGAGTGGCAAAGGCTTCAAGTCAGCACCCTCCTGTCTGCAGGTCCTGCCTCAGTCCTATCCATCCTCCTGCCCCTCACCCCATGCAGCCAGAGTCAGCTCCCCAAAGTACCATGTGATGCCCCATTCCATTCATGAACTTTCAATGGCTTCCATACTATGCCAAGTTCCCAGATTCTTTCTGGTTCTTCTAAATCCTACCAATTCTTCATTTGAGCCCCACTTCCCTGAGTTCTTCCTGTACATTGCCTTTGTGTTTTGGCCTCAATCCCACATAACTCCATTCTGCCCTCAACTTGGTTATTTCATTTTTCCCACTAAATCATGGGCTTGAAGCTGACTGAAAGGGCTTCAATTTCAACTACATGAATTTTTCTTCCAGTCCTTAAGGGACTGATTCCTGTATCTGGATGAAAGACCCATTATCTCCTACCAGGCCATCTCTGGACAGTCTGCTTGATAAAGTTTTTCCTTAGGAAAATTAACAGTAGCAGACTGGGGTTACAGATTAGTGGCAGAGTACCTGCCAATACAAGTGAGGCCCTGGCTCAATACTCAGCACTCAAGGAAAGGCAAACAAACAAAACTACTCAGGTCTACAAAGTACTTGTCAAATTCCAGGCTGGATCCTATGCTTTTTATGTGTGTTGAGTCACTTACCTTCATGTCAGAATTATGACAAAAGTTCCTTTCACAGGTAAAAAAAATGAGGTCCAGAGCAACAGTACAGCACTGTGGTTAACTGCATAGTCTTGGAAGCCAAAATGCTCAGGTTCAGATACTGCCTTCATCACTTCCCAGCTGATGCAAACTTGTGCAATTTATTATATGTCTCAGGACCTTAGTTTTCTTATCTGAAAAATGGAGGTAAAAATAGTACTTACCTCAGAGGGTTGGGTGAGGTTTGAATGAGACAATAATTATTGCCCTCAATTACTGAATCTTTTCAGAGCCAGACACTTTACTGAGCATACTTATTAATTCTCTTGCTTCCTCAGATAGGAGTTAAGAGTCCCCATTTTACAGATGAATAAACTGAGGTTCCAAGAGTAACATGATTTGCCCACCCATAGTTTGGACTTGAAATAAGGTGTTTTAACTGGTTTTAAGTCACTGGGCTAAGGTCCAGTGACCTGAGACTTCCCAAGCTTTCTGCTGCCAGGGCCAGCTTCATCATAACCAGAAACTTGAGCTCAGGCTGCACCTGTATCTTCTCTTATCCCTATGCAACTTCTTTGAGATCAAAACCAGTACCCTTTGTATTTCAGGATACTGGGTCTGTTGGGTCTGAGCTTGCCCACTATTGTAGCCCTTGATAGGTCCTAGACTCAATCTTATACTGTATCTGTGAAACTGAAATCAGATTGCTAGAGGGATAAATCCTTCCTAAGATACTTCCCAGGGAAAAGGTAAGGGAATACCTGGTGAGTCCCGGTGGGCACTCAACTCCATGAAAGTGGAAGGCTAAACCAGGCAGGGTGGCACATGCCTGTAATCCTAGCACTTGGGAGGCTGAGGCAAGAAGATCACTGCAAGTTCAAGATCAGCCTGGGCTACAAAGTGAGAGTTTAAGGTCAGCCTAAACTGCACAGTGAGATCCTGTCTCAAAAAGATAAAAAATTAAAAATAAAAGAAGGCCAGGTAAGCTAGGCCCGTGTAGTTTTACTATTAAATCCTCACTTTTCCTAGAGTGCTAGTACTCTAAGTGAAGTAAGACCCCAGCATCAGAATAATCATCTGGGGAGTTTGAGGCAGGACATAAGAACCTGTATTTTAAACACAGTTTCTGAGGGGCTGGGGATTTAGCTAGGGGCTGGGGATTTAACTCAGTGGCATAAGCACCTGCCTTGCAAGCAGACAGTCATGAGTTCGATCCCCGGTACCGATAAAAAGGAAAGACAACAAAACAAAACAAAACAAAACAAAAAAAACAGTTTCTGGATCATTCCACCCAACACTTAAGAATCAAACACATGTACATGTAGCTGGGTGTGATGGTGTACACTTGTAATCTCTGCACTCCAGCAGGCTGAGACAAGATCACTGCAAGTTTAAGGTCTGGGCTATATAGCAAGACTCTGTCTAAACAACAATAAAAACCTCAAATACATGGGTTGGGGGTTATCTTAGTGGTGGACTGCTTTTCTAGCATGTACAAGGCTCTGGCTTTGATCGCAAGCATTTAACCCCCCCCCCAACCAATAGAATTCAAACAAAACCAAAAAGCTGGGTGTGGTGGTACATACCTGTAATCCCAGCACTCAGGAGGCTGAGGCAGGAGGATCACAAAAAGTTTGAGGCCAGCCTGGGGTATAGGCCTGAACTAGTATGACCCAGATTCAAAAAAAAAAAAAAAATTCAAGACATATCCTTAGGTATTTATAGGCTTCTTGGAGACTCATTTTTACTACATCTGTTTTCAGATGCGGAAAATAATACTCCATAGGGGAAACAATATATACAAGGTCAGATTCAAACTCAAGTCTGCAGGACAATCACTATTAAGTAAAATAAATTGGACACACATGTTCAAATATTGCATGGTTTCTCTGGTGTGAGAAACCTAAAGTGTAAATAAGGAGCAAAATGTATTGAGATATTGAGAAATGGGAAGAAAATGTTCAAATGAGAAGGAAAACGGTGGGTGGGGGGAAGAAGGGACAAAAGAAAAAGCAGCAAGATATATCATGTACAGGTACAAATTCTGTATAATGAATGTTATCATTATGTACATCTAAAATGTATCAAAATTAAACAATTAAAAAAATGTCTTCAGGTCTCTGGAGTGGACTCTTTCTCTAGCTACATTTTTATTCATTTGAGGGTTTTTTTTAAGACAAATCCTAACACTGCTCTCAAACGAAGACCAGTATTTTTCCACTAACAATAAAGCCTCAGTCCATCTATTTCCTTCCTACCTTATCTCCAACTTCTCTCCACCAGCTCACTAGGCTCCACCTACCCAGGCCCCTTTTCTTTATTTTAAAGAGCTCAATTCCTTCCTATCATAGGACTTTGGACTAACAGTTTCTCTGTCACAACCACTATTCCCTTAGGATCTTTTGTGTAGCTGTCTCTGATTTCCTTTGGGTCTCAACTGTCTGCTACTTCCTCTTAAGAAGGCTTTCTTGACAACCTTTTTTGATGCTATATGCATCCCTAGTAATCATTCTTTTTCCCTTTTTTTAAAATTTTTTATGGTCTCATCTGAATCAAACATTCCTTGCAAGTTTACTGTGGGTCAGGGATCATTCTAAGCATTTTACGCATGTTACGCTATTCTTAAAAATGCTTAGAAGTTTATTATGGACTGAATATTTGTATTCTCCCAAAATTCATGTATTAAATTTCTAGCTCCCACTGTAACTGAATTTGGAGACAGGCCTTTGTGTAAGTAATTAAGGTAAAATGAAATAAAAAACCTAGGACCCTGATCCAATAAAACTAGTGTTATAAGAAGCAACAACACACGGGGCCAGGGATTTAGCTCAGCGGCATAAGTGCCTGCCTGGCAAGCGTGAGGGTTGTGAGTTCAATCCGGGTACTGCAGAGAGCTGGCGTGGTGGCTCATGCCTGTAATCCCAGCACTCAGGAGGCTGAGGTGGGAGGATCCTTGCGAGTTCAAGACCAGCCTGGGCTACAAAGTGAGCTCAAGGCCAGCCTGAACTGCATAGCGAGACCCCTTCTCAAAAAAAAGTGACAACACAGAGAAGCAAAAAAATTAGTAAGAGCAGTCAGGTATTCAAAGCTACCTGGTCAGACTTCCAAACTTCTGCTCTCTTCTGACTATTGCTTGCTAGTATTTATATGTCTTATGTTCTAGTTGTTAACCCATTTATGCTGAAGATTGAAATTTTTTGAATTTTTGCATGAAATTCACAAATATGATCTAGAAAAATTCAAGGGTCAAGAATTTGAAGAGAACACATTTCATTATGTTCCACTGTTATGAGTGTTCCAAGATTGGATCACTAGGCATTGAAAGGTTAACTATATGTCTCTAGCACTGGGGAATCTAGGCTAAAAAGCCCAGAAACTTGACTATGTGCATCTTCTATGCCCAGAACTATTTGGCCACCTGGGCAAAGGACATGAATTAACTTTACAGAGAATTCAAGTAAGGGTTTACAGCTTTTGCCTCTCCTATATAAGTTCATGCAAAAGTCAACTGCTATTTATGAACTGAATTTGTCCTCCTTTCCAAGTGCCCAAGGTCCAAATAGCATTTCACTATTCCTCAGAAGACTCACTATTGTAATCAAGTCCTGTCTTTGCTTCACTCCTCACCTAGTAGGGGGGTGAAATCCTGCTGTTTCCCCCGTAGACAGAGATTTGATTCCCCAAAAGCTCAGACTAAGGCCCTGGGGGCAAGGATAAGGTGAAAAGGGGCCATCTAACTCTCCCTTCTAAATAAGTTGACATCACGTAAGGTTCACATGCCATAAGCGATTTGGAAGTTGATGAAACTGTGCAGAGGTGAAAACTAATCATAATCTTGGTCTAAAATCTAGTCTTTTTCAGCCTCAGCGGCAATTTCTCCCTCTGGTCACTTAACGAAGCTCCAGGCAAAATTCTCAAATTTGGACCCCTCTACACGCCATAACCTCTGCCTAGTAGACTTTGCTTGCCTTCTCGAAAGGGAAAACTCTTGTATCTTCCAAATACTCCATCCTTAATGAAAAAGATCAAAATGTGATGTGTACGTACCAACCCTCCATGACTAATGTATTTATTATGTATGGCTAACATACCCTAAAAGAAGGGGAACTTAATGGCCACTAGAGGTAAGGGGTCCGCGATGCGCTGGGCCTCAGTTTCTTTGTCAGTGAAATGGGATTCTTGAGACATATGGAAGACTGAAGGGTGCTAGGGCCTACCAGGCACTCTGAATGGGGCCAAGGGCTGCGCAAGTCCTGCTTTCCTCTCTCTGCCACCGTGTATATTGATGCTCTGACCAGATAGAGGCAGGGCCCACGGCAAGACTCGTTTCTTAATAAACCCTATTAAAGTGTGGCCTCAGCGAACGTGGCAAGAAAGAACGAACGTGGGAATGAAAAATGAATGAACAGAGGCCCGAAAGCGGGACAAAGGCTCTGCAAGATGGCGTTTTTTAGGACCGTAGGAGGGGCGGCCAGGGCCTTCGCCGAGGAGGGGTCCACCGGCACCGGGGACCTTGCGGGGCTGGCCGCACCGCGGAAACAAAGCCCGCAACATGGCGGGCTCTAGGACCTCTGGGCCCGCACCACGCACGGCCGCCGGCCGCCTTGGCCGATGGTAGGCATCCGCAGCAGCCGGCCCGCGGGGACAGCCGGCGGGTTCTAGGACCTGCTGGGCCGGAGGCCGCCCCGGGCCGCTCACCGCCCGCCCCGCCCGCGCCAGGCCAAGCCAGTTCTCCCTCGCTCCCCACAGGGAAACTGAGGCCAGCTAGGGTCACGTCCGCGCGGGAGCCAACTCGGGTCCTTGCGACTTCTCACCCGCGTCTCTTACCTGAGTCGGTTTGGACCGACTGCGTGGCGTCAGGATTAGATCCTCTCACAATCAGAGCCCCAGACCCTGCCAGTGAAGGTCCGGCGCTAGGACCCAGCGGGGGGGGGGGAGGGGTAGGGGAGGCGGGGCCGGCGGGTCAGAAAGCGGAAGTCGAAGGGAGCTTTCCCGGCGGAGGAGGAAGGAAAAGTTTGCAGGATCACCTCCAGCCTAAGGTGTCGGAGAAACAGCTTACAAAGGGTCTCAGGGTGCTAAGGGGAGGAGACGCCAGGCAGATTGGCCATATACGCCGGCCAGGCCACCGAAGTGTCTCCAAAACCTAAAAGGTGGGAGGACAGGCCGTGCTCAAACTAAATCCACTGATAGTCCACATTTCTTTTAATACTAAGGAATAACTTTAATGGAGTTTTCTCATCTATCTTAGGGAGTCTTTCAGCGAGCCCCATAAAAAGTGTCGTCAAAGTACTGCTGCCAGGGGTGCAGGATCTTTTGGGTTTTTTCTTTCATCTCATTCAATGTACACCGGAACGATTTTAGCATCACTAGACGGAAGTGTGGCAAGGTAGTTGCTAATCCCTATGCGTTGCGACCTACGTAGGCGGAGTCAGAGTTAAACCCAGCTAGAACCTAGCGCCGGAAGTGTATGCCGTACCGCTGCTTGGAGGCGGGAAAGGAAGTGTTCCTGAGGCGGAAGTTTTGCGGGGAATCTTTTGCCTCTAGGACACTTCCTGTTTCCTAGTAACAATAGGAAGTGTCCGCGGACCTGGGGCTAGACACCTAGCTCTTATCAGCTGTACGTTCTTCACTCTTATTTCCTTCCCCTTTTCCCTTATTTTTTTAGTGTCTTCCTCCCCTCTGGCCTCCCTGGAACTCTGGATGAGTGTGCGTGTATGGGAGCGCGAGAAGCCTCCACAGCCATTCCTTGGGGCGCGCGGCTGCAGTTAGGGTAAGGGTCTCAGTGCGCAGGCGCGCTTCCGTTCGTGGTCCCCAACGGACTCGCCCGCGGCGGGAACAAGAAGGGGTTGCTGGTGCGAGGTAGGAGTCCTTAGAGGAAACCCACAGAAGAGTTGATTGACTGGAGAGGATCTCACTGGTTGTTGATTTGAAAAGGGGACTGTGATGAGAATGAGCTTTAGGAGGCGAGAATTCCCGGGAGTAGGTTCAGTAAGGGGATTTAGTGTCGGAGATAGTTGTATGGGGGTCCCAGGGGAGTCGGGAGGGGCTAAAATAGTATAGGAAGCATGAAGCTCTACTGTTGAGAAAGCAAGGGCTTTGAAATGAAGACTCAGTGGTTTTACACATAGGTAGACTGGGCTAACGGGTGGATTAAATGTTGTATTCGGTGACACAGTGATTATGCTTACCACAGTGCTTGGCACGTGGTAATATTTAACAGTCGGTATCATCATCAGTATTAAAAAAAAAAGAAATAAGTGGCATGGATAGAAAAGGGATGAAATAAAATTCTCAGCTTGAAATGAGATGAGACTTTAGCAAGATAATAGTTTAGGTAAAGGGAGTGACCAGGAGAGTCTTGGAAAAGAGACATTATTGACATGGTGAGGACCAGAAGAGGAACCAGTATTCCTCTGAAGGGAACCTCTGACCTCTTAGTCCACAACTGTCAGCTGGAGAAAGTAGCTGCCTCTTCAGGCTTCAAGGCTACTCTTACTGAAGGGTAAAAGGACGAAAACTAGTTTCCTTTTAAGATGCCACAATTTTGAAACTTTATACTTTCAAAATTGTAGAGCAGAGGGTTAGAAACATAAAACCTTTGGGATGCGGTCTGAAAAACATGATACTAGAAATATGATCTACAGTAGGTTATCTCTGTAGACTATAGCTTCCTTATCTGTACCTCTAAGGATAACTTAAGGGTAGAGGAGTTTCCATATTTGGGGAGCTATGCATGGGGAGGCCTTAAATTATGATACCTCCATATTAACTTTTTAGAGAGCAAGTACTTGGGTACTAATAGTAACCTCTGTTGCACATAGAACCAATGCAAAGCTAGTTCAGGCCTTCCTTTTGACCACTGCCCCCTCTTCCCAGGCCCCTACACCAGAGGAAGATGCTACTGCTACTTGTCTACTCCTGAACCTCCAAATTTCTGTCACATTGCCCCATGGAGAATACATCACTCTTATTCAGCTGCTCTGACTGTCAACGCCACTTTCCTAGTCTCCCAGAACTTTCACGACACCGAGAACTGCTCCATTCATCTCCCAATCAGGATAGTGAGGAGGCTGACAGCATCCCTCGGCCCTACCACTGTCAGCAGTGTGGGCGAGGATACCGTCACCCAGGGAGTCTGGTCAACCACCGTCGGACCCACGAGACTGGACTTTTCCCCTGTACCACGTGTGGCAAGGACTTTACCAATCCTATGGCCCTCAAGAGCCACATGAGGACACATGCTCCTGAGGGCCACAATAGGAGCAGGCCCTCTCACCCCAAGGATGCCACTCCATATCTCCAAAGTGAGGCAGTATCTACTGACTCCTGGGGCCAGAGGCTTGGCCCTGGAGAAGGGTGGGAAAACCAGACAAAACATACAAAAGAGACACATGGCTGTGAATCTGGACCTGACCCCAGGACAACTACAGGTACTTTGGAAGATATAGCCACCAAACAAAGAGAAAGCTGGGGAAGCCAGCCAAGTCCTGAAGAGAGTGCTGAGGGCTGGGGTTCTACTACGCACTCCACCAGAGCCCCTCCTCTTCCTACTCCAGCCGGTAACCTCCTTAGCAACTTGGAGCAGTATTTGGCTGAATCGGTAGTGAACTTTACAGGGGGCCAGGAGCCCACACAGTCTCATGCTGAGGAGGAGCGACGGTATAAATGCAGTCAGTGTGGCAAGACCTACAAGCATGCTGGGAGCCTCACCAACCACCGGCAGAGCCACACTCTGGGTATTTACCCTTGTGCCATCTGCTTCAAGGAATTTTCTAACCTCATGGCTCTGAAGAACCACTCCCGACTCCATGCCCAGTATCGGCCTTACCACTGCCCACATTGCCCTCGTGCTTTTCGGCTTCCCCGGGAGCTGCTGGAACACCAGCAGTCTCATGAGTTTGAAAGGCAGGAACAGCCCTGGGAAGATAATGGGATGCCCACGACCAATGGACACACAGATGATGGTGCCCGGGACCAAATACCTACTACAGCGATGCTAAATGGTTTGGAGCTTAGCATTTCTGGGGAACTAGAAGATAGTAGCCTGGAGGAGTACCGGCCTTTCCGCTGTGGAGACTGTGGCCGTACTTATCGCCATGCTGGGAGCCTCATCAACCATCGAAAGAGCCACCAGACTGGTGTTTACCCATGTTCAATCTGTTCCAAGCAGCTGTTTAATGCAGCAGCGCTCAAAAACCATGTGCGGGCTCATCACAGACCCCGGCAAGGAGCTGGCGAAGATGGGCAGTCATCAGCACCAGCTCCCCTGCTGTTGGCTGATACCACTCACCATGAGGAAAAAGCCCCCACCACCACCCTGGACTATCGCCCCTATAAATGCAGTGAATGTGGTCGCGCTTACCGCCACCGGGGGAGCCTGGTGAACCACCGTCATAGCCATCGCACAGGAGAGTACCAGTGTTCCCTTTGTCCCCGCAAGTACCCCAACCTTATGGCCCTGCGCAACCATGTAAGGGTACATTGCAAGGCTGCTCGAAGAAGTACAGATGCAGGGACCAAAAGTTGCCCCAGTCACCTCAAGGTGAAACTTTTGCCTAACTCAGTGGGAACAGAGCCAGCCCTATACACAGATGAAAGACTTGTGTGCAGACATGAAGAAGGGACTGTCAATGTCCCAACAGCAGATACCACATCACCACTAATATGTAGCAACTGTGGGATGCTCTTTGAAGATCGTGATAGCCTTGAACAGCATGACCTGACCCATAGGGAAGGGGGAAATAGGACAGAGACTACAGTGTCACCTCCTAGGGCATTTGCCTGCAAAGACTGTGGTAAGAGCTATCGACACTCAGGCAGCCTTATCAACCACAAGCAGACCCATCAGACAGGGGACTTCAGTTGTGAGGCTTGTGCCAAGCACTTCCACACCATGGCTGCCATGAAAAGCCATTTGCGACGCCATAGTCGGCGGCAGAGCAGGCGTCATCGGAAGCAGGTTAGCAGTGGGGCAGAAGCCAAATTAGATGGGCACTGGGCCCATGAGCTTGGAGATAGTGTTGACCTGGATTCTTCCCAAGACACTTCAAGGGAAAGTCTTTGTGGAACTAAAGACAACTTAGAAAATGATGACAGCTGTTTGCAGGCTCAATCTGAAGGCAACCATTGTGGGCTTGAGAGGGATGAGGCATGTTTCCAGGGTGTTAAAGAGAGTGGAGGCACTGAAGGAGGACTGGAAAAGCAGGAAACCTGTTTCCTTGATAACTTGGACATCCCAGGTGATGAAGCAAATGGGACTTGCTTCCCTGATGGCCTCACTGGGGTGGATGAAGATCATAAAATGACGGGTGAGCCTACCTCATCTTCCCACTCTGCTGAAACTGTCACCAGCTGGCAGACTGAGATCACTCATAAGTGTTCAGACTGTGGGCATTCTTTCCCCCATGCCACAGGACTGCTGAGCCATAGGCCCTGCCATCCACCAGGCATTTATCAATGTTCCCTCTGCCCAAAGGAGTTTGACTCTCTGCCTGGCCTACGCAGTCACTTCCAGGACCATGGGCCAGGGGAGGCAACCTCAGCGCAGCCTTTCCTTTGCTGCCTCTGTGGTATGATCTTTCCTGGACGGGCTGGCTACAGGCTTCACTGGCGCCAGGTTCACAGCTCCTCTGGCATGACTGAGGGCTCAGAGGAGGATGGGGAAGAGGAAGGAGCAGCAGAGGTAGCCTCCACTCATAGCCCTCCACTTCAGCTTTCGGAAGCAGAGTTGCTAAATCAGCTGCAGCGGGAGGTAGAAGCGCTAGATGGAGCAGGTTATGGGCACATCTGTGGTTGCTGTGGTCAAACCTATGATGACCTGGGGAGCCTGGAGCGTCACCACCAAAGTCAAAGTTTGGAGAATACCATAAACAAGGCTCCGAGCCACTTAGAAGCATCAAGTGATGCCACAGAGATAGCTGCAGAGGGTGTCCTTGAGGACACAGTGCCCTCTATCTCTGGAGAGGGTGAAGACACAAAATCTGAAGAGGGAGTGAGTGACACAGTTGTAGACAGCCTTTGCATGCAGGTTGGTGAAAGTTTTTTAGAGGTTCATCCCCGCCCCTTCCGTTGCAACCAGTGTGGCAAGACCTATCGCCATGGGGGCAGCCTGGTAAATCACCGCAAGATCCACCAAACTGGGGATTTCATCTGCCCTGTCTGTTCCCGCTGCTATCCCAACCTGGCTGCCTACCGTAACCATCTGCGGAACCACCCTCGATGCAAAGGCTTTGAGCCCCAGATAGGGCCCATCCCAGATGCAGAGTGCAGCAGTGAACCCCAGAATGTGGCAGAGACAGGACCAGAGCAGGCAGAAATGGGGAAGCTCCAAGAAGAACTTAAAGTGGAACCCCAGGAGGAGGTGGCCACGGTGAAAGAGGAGAAGGGGGAGGAGACCCCTATGAAAGGGAAAGAGATAGAGCCATTGTTGGAGACAGCAGAGAAGGGCTGTCAGACTGAGGCCAACTCTGAGCGACCTTTCAGCTGTGAGGTGTGTGGCCGCTCATACAAGCATGCTGGCAGTCTCATCAATCACCGACAAAGCCACCAGACTGGCCACTTTGGCTGCCAGGCCTGCTCCAAGGGCTTCTCAAACCTCATGTCCCTTAAGAACCACCGGCGCATCCATGCAGACCCTCAGCGTTTCCGCTGCAGTGAATGCGGAAAAGCCTTTCGCTTGCGAAAGCAACTAGCTAGTCACCAGCGGGTTCACATTGAATGGCATGGCAATGGGGTAACCCGAAAGCTGATCCGGGAAGATAGGCCCTTCCGATGTGGGCAGTGTGGGCGGACCTACCGCCATGCTGGCAGTCTCCTGAACCACCGGCGCAGCCATGAGACAGGCCAGTATAGCTGCCCTTCCTGCCCCAAGACCTATTCCAACCGCATGGCCCTAAAGGACCACCAGAGACTACACTCTGAGAGTCGGCGGAGACGAGCAGGGCGGTCCCGGCAGACAGTAGCGCGCTGTGCCCTCTGTGGTCGTGGCTTTCCTGGCCGGGGATCTTTGGAGCGGCACCTGCGGGAACATGAAGAAGAGACCAAAGGGGAGCTGGCCCGTGGCCAAGGAAGCTCAAATGACACAGAGAATAGTGAGGGGAACCTGGCCAATAACCAGGAATTAGAGGGCAGATCAGGGGGTACCGAGTCAGAACCCCAGCTAGAGGATGAAGCCATGAGGCCAGAGGAACATACTCAGAATCCAGCTGGGACAGCAGATTCAGAAGCCACAGACCCCCTCTCCTGGGACGTGGGAAAAGTAGATGGGTGGGAAGGAGAGAGAGAACTGGTAAACCACAATGGAAGTTTGGTTCCTCAGGGTCAGATATTGACCAAGTCAGAAGACCAGTCAGAGGTCAGTGCCCCTAATAGGAGTCCTTGCCACCTTGCTGACAGCCAGTCCAGTGGACCTAGTATTAGTCACTTGGATAGCTGGAATAATGGAGATAGCCCTCAGCTCCAGCCAGAGAGCCGCTCCTATTCCTGCTGCCAGTGTGGCAAGACCTACCGCCAGTCAGATGGTTTCTTGAGTCACAACACCCATAAGTCAGACCTCTACTATTGCCTGCTCTGCTCTGAGGAGTTCTTAAATCCTATGGCTACTAAGAGTCACAACCGTAACCATGTATCTGCCCAGGCATTTTCGTGCCCTGACTGTGGCATAGTCTTTGAGTCTCACCATGAATTGGCCACTCATTTGGAGACTCATGCTATAGGCCACAATCAATTGCCAAATCAAATAGAAGAAGCTGGACCCATAGAGGGCAAAGTGGGTCTCCCTGATCAAGGGGAAGCTCAGGAGGCTCTATCAGAAACTCTCAGAGCCTCAGGAGAGGACTCCGAGGAAGCTAGCAGAGGGCAAGAAATAAACATCACAGGGGCTGACAACAAGGAGCGGCCCTTCCGCTGTGCCCAGTGTGGGCGTTCCTATCGCCATGCTGGCAGCCTGCTGAACCACCAGAAGGCCCACACCATTGGCCTCTATCCCTGCTCCTTGTGCCCTAAACTTCTGCCCAACCTACTATCTCTTAAGAACCATGGCAGAACCCACACAGACCCCAAGCGTCACCGCTGCAGCATCTGTGGCAAGGCCTTCCAGACAGCTGCCCGGCTAGAGGGACATAGGAGGGTCCATGCACCCCAAGAGGGGCCTTTCACATGCCTCCGTTGTCCCCGTCACTTCCGCCGTCGTATCAGCTTCCTGCAGCACCAGCAGCAACACCAGGAAGAGTGGACAGTGGCCAGCTCTGGTAAGCGGAAATGAATGGACTTGGGAAGCAGAATTGGCCCCTTCAATTGAGAAGGCCAGTTAGGGTACTCAGGCAAAACTGGGCCCCAAAGTGAGTGGGAGAGCAAGGAGGAGAGTCACATGGAATCCAAGGGATGGTGGGGGACCTGCTGGTAGAGTGAAAAATAGTTTGAAGATGCTGCCTTTTGAGCAGCCAAGATCCAAACCTTTGCATTAAATAAACAGATGACATGATGGGTTGGGGGATTATGATATGAAAAGTGGTCATAGGTAGAGGCAGCCCTGTGGGCTCCTTTGCTATAGCCCAACAGGAGTGGCCTTTTTGTTTTGACTTGGGTACCTGGGTACCACCTGACTACTGTGTCTGAAAACCTTTCTGATTCAGCTAGTAATGTGTTCTAGAGAAAAGGATGAAGCCATCAGTTTTGTCTATTTTCTGTCCTAGAGTGCACAGGGAACCAGGAAGTTAGGAAGGGAGCACGGACCTGGGAGTAACTGGGAGTCCCAGGATTCTTAGGCTTTCATGCAGGTAGTTGGGGAATGGCCTTTTGGGCTTCAGGACATGTGGGGTGTGCCCCCTCAGTGACTCCCACTGACTGGACTTTTGTGGCTTCACTGCTAACTTTGGTAAATGAGACTGGATCACTCATCAGTATTTAACTCTGTCTCTCCCAAAAGCTTTTTTTTTCTTCTTTTTGAGACAGGGTCTTGCTATGTGGTTCAGGCTGGTCTCGAACTTGCCATGATCCTCCTGCCACAGCCTCCAAGTGCTAGGATTACAGGCGTGTGCCACCATGCCTGGCTGTCCCTACATCTTGTCCTTGTTTTCCTCTTTGTTTCTTGGGAACTATTTTTTTTTTTAATTTGTTTTTGAGTTAGGGTCTCACTTTGTAGCCCAGGCTGGTCTCTCCTTACAGTGATCTTCGTGCCTCCGTCTCCCAAGTGGTTGGGTTAGAGGCATGCGCCACCTCACCCAACTGCAGACCATTTTAGACTCCAACCAAACCACCATTTTCCACCTGCATGCACATATCACACACCCCTCCCCACCTCCTCAGGACACCTTTAATTGGAAACCTGAGTCAGACATAATTGTTTCTTTGAAGCCAGGCCCTGCCATGGCTCCAGCAGTCATCAGGCCCTATCTCTCATCATCTTATCAGAGGGCATCTGCACTGAGTAGACTTGCCTCCACCCAGCCCACAGAAGATGAGATGTGGGGGAGTGGGGCAGGGACAACCTATTCCTCACCAAGCCCTGGGCTCACGCTGTACTCTTAGTAGAGGAGAATACATTCCATATAGTGGCTGCCTAGTGTGGGTATCCCCGAGATGGTGAGCCCTTGACCAGAACTTACCAGGGAAGGAGGCAGAGGGTGAATAACACAGTCCCTTCAAGTAGAAGAAAGGAATGTCTCTCAGGGTGAAACATTTCTTGTGAGTTCAAGGGAAATAAATGAGAGCAGATAGGGCTGGAAAAGTGACAGGGAGTCTTAGGGTTCTCCTCTGGTGCCACAAATTGGGGAGGGCTTGCCACACTTGGGAGGTGTGCCATCTGCCTTCGCAGTGACCTCTGCTCTCTCCTCAGGAGCTGAAGTGACACCAACAGCAAGCAAAGGAGATTTGTCATTGCCTCTTCCATCCACCTCCACAGCCCCACTCCTGGACCCTTCACCCCAGTGGCCTGCAGACCTCAGCTTCTCCCTCTGAACTTCCAAGTCTCCAAAGATCAGAACACTGGAGAGTGGGTGCAGGCAGAGACGGGCTTGATCTCCATGTTTCTCTCAGGAGTAGCTTGGGCATCCCCAGCTCTTCTCACTCCCTGTGATGAGTACCCAAGAAGGGAGTGGGATGTTTCTCATGTCCCTGCTATTGAAGGATCTTCTTCCCCCAATCTTTGTCACCATGCTCTGCCAAAATGCGTGGGCCACCCTTGCCAGCCAGATTGCAACACCAGGGAAAGGCAGGTACAGAGAGCACCATGAGTGGAAATGTTGCCTGTGAAAGGGGAGCCTTTTGCTACAGTTTGTAACTTATTTTCTAAAGTCTATTTTGTAACAATTTATTTAAGTTTTAAAAAAGGAAAATTGCTCCCCCCCCCAAAAAAAAAAAGATTTTCAAAACAGGTGGCTGGTGTGATTGTCTCTGAGGAATAAAGGGTAGGGACAGCAGGGGACACCTGCATTGGAGAGCAAAGCTGTGTGGGAGCATCCACAGGTGACATCCCTGTCCTGCAGGGTGGGGACGGGGCATCTGCTGGTCCTCAGTAGCTCTTTCTGATTGCCATCGATGGGTTCTTGGGCCTGCCCCAGGGCCTAGAACACACTTGGGGACATGGAGGGGCAGACATGTTGAGGTGGGCGTTGTCTCATTTTTCTGACATTCTGTGTGTGAACAGCCCAGAGTCACTTGTCAACAGCTGGCTGGTTGGCCTATTAAGGAAAACAAGAAGAATATAGTTAGCTTTATCTTCTCAATCTTGTTCTCTTCTGTAAAGGAGTAGGGTCTGTCCTGGCTTCCGTACTCCAAGGTGCACAATGGGGAAGAGCCACAGTTAGAATGCACGTGGGTCTGTCCACTGCTCCAGTCCATCCTGGGCAGCTACAGGTGGGTCAGGATAGTCTTTTCCCCAAATAGAGACAGAAGAAATCTGGAGCAGGTAGGAAGCACCAGGACACTTACGTGAGCTGGCCGGACAGCTCCCAGCCTCCATCTCAGGCTCTGGCTCCTCAGCGAAATAGACCTGCCAATCCAAACTGCTGACCCAGTCCTCGTAAACGGGCAGTGCCGTGAACACGGCGGGTCTCACAGGGCCTTGGCAGGCATCTCCAAAGCTGTGTAACCCAGCCAGGAACCATGTGCCCCTCACCTCACGTACCAATGGTGCCCCCGATAGGCCCTGTCAGGGGTCAGTGACAGTGGGTTATTTCTTCTACTTATGCAGCTGCAGGAGGGCAGAAGGGGCTAAACTGCTGGTTATTGGGGGCTGGTTGGCAGAACAGATAGTTCTAGTGAGAGGTAGGCTAGAGGCCAAGCTTGGTAGGTTGTCTCCTCATGTGAAAGGAAGCCAGGAGTCTACTGGCTAACATTTGGAACTGGGGCTCACCTCACAGCGGGGCAGCTCACCCACCACACTGGTACACACCATCCCTGGCACAATGGGAATGCCATCACCCCCAGGGGCTGCATGGAGCCGGCCACAGGCCCTAGGCCCCAGGAGGGTCACAAGCACTGTCTGCAGGGAGCTCACACCTGTAGGAAAGAAAAAAGCAGGCTGCCCAGCAGCCTTTAGGCTGGATAGGAAACTGCTGGTAACCCCAGTCCTACATACCTGCATCTTGGGCCAACCCCAGGACCCAGCCACGTTCCCCATCAGGCAGGTAGTGGTCAGCATAGGGCAGGCAAAGGGGTCGTAGACTGGGGCCCAGGGTCACAGGCTGGGCCAGCAACAAGAGGGCTACATCATAGCCCCCTTCTGGGTGTGTGTAGGCCCCGTGCAGGATGAGTTGCTTCAGGCCTCTTTCCTCTGGTCCCGCCCCCAGCCCTATGCTCCATTCTTCCAGAGTCTGGCGCCTGTGCAGAGGCAGCATTGACAACTCTTAAGTGACTGGGCTTGGACAGGGCACACAAGGGTTAGGGCTGCAGGGCTCACCCGATGAAGCAGTGGGCAGCTGTCAGCACCACCTCCTCTGATACTAAGGCTCCACCACAGACCAGCTTCCCCTGATGCTTCAGCCTTGCATCCCAGGGCCACGGAGAAGGGGCTTTTGCCTGGGGACCCTCTCTCCTTAAGGATCCGCAGGCTGAAACAGATGGATTTTATTATCTGACTTGTTAAGCACTCATTAGGCCAAGCACTTCCTAGTGCTGTTAAATCCTCCTAATATCCTTTTAGGTTCACTTGTGTTACCCTCATTAACAAAGGTTCCAGAGAGGTTAAGTGACTTCCTATCTCTGTACTAAAAGCAACTAGTAGCAGATGGGATTAAAAACCAGAGCCTGACTGAGTGTGGTAGCAGTAATCTACTGGGAGGCTAAGGAGGGAGGAGCTCCATGAGTTCCAGGCCAGCCTGCTTTACGTAGTGAGACCCTGTCTCAAAGAAACAAAAAAGGCCATGGGATTTAGCTCACAGGCACTAGTGCCTGCCTGGCAAGTACAAGGTTGTGAGTTCAATCACTGGTACAAAAATTTTAAAAAGGCCAGAACCTGAAGTTTTTAAGCCTGGGGCATCTGAGAGTACTCTGTCTCAGTCCTCCAGGAAGGACCCTATTCCTTACTTCCAGTTCCCCTGTCTGCATCCCTCCAGGGTAAGACTCACTCCAGAATCCCTGGCCCATTAGTGCTTCCTTTAACATCAAGATACTGCTTTCCTTTTTTTTTTTTTTTTTTGTCTTTTTGAGACAGGGTCTTGCTAGGCAGTTCAGGCTGGCCATATGCTCAGTGCAAAGATCCTCCAATCTCAACCTCATGAGTGCTGGTATTACAGGCATGCACCACCATGCCTGGTTTAAGATAATTGCTTTCTTCCCAGGCATAAATTTGCATGTAGTTTGCATGTTGCTTGCTTCCTGCCAGGATTCTGAATGTAGGCCCTGCCTGTTTGATTTTGCTGGTTCCCTGCCTGGAGGCTTGCTGTTTCCTTAGAAAACCTTCATCCAGGGCTGGGGATTTAGCTCAGTGGCTCAAATGCTTGCCTGGTGAGGGTGAGGTTGTGATTTTGATCCCTCACAAAAAAAAAAAAAAAAAAAAAGCTAGGTGTGGTGGCGCATGCCTGTGATCTCAGCACTGGGGGGGGGGGGGGGAGGCCTGAGGCAGGAGACCAGCCTGGGCTACAAAAATGACCTCAAGACCAGCCTGAACCGCATAGCAAGATCTTGTCTCAAAACAAAACAAAAAGAAAAAGAAAGAAAACCATCCAACTGGGAATGGTGGTACATGCATGTAATCCCTGCACTGGGAAGCTGAGGCAGGAGGATCACCATAAATTCAAGGCTAGTCTAACCTACACAGTGAGTTCAAGGCCAGCCTGCATTACATAACCAAACCTTGTCTCAAAACCAACAACCCACTTTCCTAAATTTCAAACTCATTAAGCTGCAAAACATGCCCCTTAGCCCTACTGGAGCTGAAAAGGGGCTGGCAGAGAGGTATGTGGCCTGAGCCTGGAGTCTAGGTTCTGGGAGTCAAGGGACTGAGGGCCAGGACAGTCGGGAGCTGAGACTGTGACCTGGAGGAGCAGGCTACCTCTCTCTGTTTAAGTCTAGGACACCACTTAAAGCCCCTTGTAGCCTTTCCTTAGCAGTGTGGGGACCCTGTATCAGTTCAGTATTCTGACTGAAGTTTGCTTCATTATGGCTCCTAGCTGCTGCCCAGAGGTCCTCACAAAGACCAGGATATTCCCACATGGCCCACTCCCCACACCCACTGCTCGTACCTACACAGCTGTCCTCATCACTGATATCCGGGGTCCCTGGGTTCTGGGCCAGAAAGGCTGCTCCCTGAGCTCGAACCTGCAGCCAGGAGCTGTGAGCAGCTGTGTCAGTCAGGAGCACAGGAGTGTCTTCCTGGGCACATCTTGATGCAAAGCTGATGATCCCAGCCTGAACCCAGTATCCACTGGGCTCTTGGCACAACACAGGGCCCCCAGAATCTCCCTGGAACCAGGCAATGGAGCCAAGAACACACCTGAGCCCCCAGACTGCCTGGGGATACACCCCCTGACTATAACCCTTCCATCCTTTTCTTCGAGTTGTGCCCCCAGTTTAAAGCTAGACCTCCCCTTCTCCCTTCCCCTCCTCCCTGTCAGACCTGGCATGGTCCCTGCATCCCAGGCGGGGTACCCCCACACAGCATCCCAGGTCGAGCTGGGCTGGCCAGCAGACGCTGGTGCAGGCGGTTGTAGAGACAGTTACATGTGGGGCGGCTGATTAGACGCAGGCGCAGGTTCCGGAGGGTCCTGGGAGCTACCAAAGGGATGAAGACTGAGACTGGAGTCTAGGTTCTGGGAGGCAAGGGGGACTAGGGACTGTGACGGTTGGGAGCAGACCCAGGCAAGCAGACTGCCTCTCTGGGCTTAAGTCTAGGACACCACTTACCATTACTGGTGTCTTGATCCCAACCAGTGGCCCAGCAAAAGGCTCCAAAGGGGAAGCGATGGTCAGGCTGGGGCAGGCAGAGGGGTGTGCGGGTCGTAGGGCGGGCAAGCCGTAGCAGGGCCAGGTCTGAGCCCTGGCTGTAGTGGTTAAAGGACCGAGGCAACTGCAGGGCAGCTACTCCCACCTCCTCAGCTCCTGGACTCAGCCCCTCATGCTGCAGAGAACCCAGGACAACCGACCAGGAACCCAGTTCTGTTGCTGCTGCCCTAGAATTGGAAGGAAGACCCAGATTGTGGAGTGCAGGGAAGACAGTGACTCCCTGGGACATAACAGCGCTGGTACCTGGAAGACTGACCAACAGCAGTCTGTCTCTTCAAGCATAATCCTCTTTTCTCAACCTCAGTTTATTTATTGATAAAGCCACCATAAAAGGTTGTTAGGATTAATCTGATAGCGCTGAGGATATAGCTCAGTGGCATAAGTGCCTGTCTGGCAAGCACAAGGTCCTGAGTTTAATTCCCAGTACCAAACAAACAAAAAACCAACAAAACTTGATAATATATACCTGGCACAGGACACAGACCTAATACTCTATTTTAGGGGAAGGATCAGTCTTATTGGGCTTAGAGACAAATGATCCATCTCCAAAGCCAGAGACCTCTCTGATCCCATCATGACTCACTTTTCGAAGCAGTGGGCAGCAGTAAGGACCCAGGTGTCTGCCACTAGGGAGCCACTGCAGATGTGGACTCCCTGCTGCCGCACGCTGGCTTGCCAGGGCCATTCACTGGGGACTGTGTTGCCTTCCTGAGGCTCAGGGGGGCCAGGTCCACGCTGCCCACAAGCTGTGGAGAAGAGTAGGTCATACCAACAGCAGACCCTTGTCCTGCTTCACCCCAGGCCTAACCCAGGCCCAAGACCTTAGAAGGTTCCCCGGACCTTACCACGCTGAGTTGCTTGAAGACCTGGGAACAGAGAAACAGAGGTGAGACTTAGGCACTTTAGTTGCTGAGTCCAGGTTTGATGGAAAAGATGGGCTGGGGTGAGCAGCTCCAAGTTCTTGCCTATGACTCTGCATACCTCACCAGCCCCTCCCAAAATGAAAATATATGAGGTTGAGAAGTAGCTTTTATTGGAACCCATTCAGAGTACACACTCGGTAATTAATTCTCCTCCCTCAGCTGGGCTCAGCATTCTCAGGCCTGAGGAGCAGGGCCTGGGGTTCAGCTTGGGACCAGGCCAACCCTCCTCCAGGCTTCAGAACCCCTGCTACTGCTACTCCCACAGCTGAGTCAGGGAAGTGGCCCATTTATGTGGGAAGCATTAGCTTAATTGTGCCTTCAGCCATGGAGGCTTTAAGTGGAAGGGATAGAGGCCTTCATCATATCTGAGTGAGGAAGGGCCTCCAGAAGTAACTTATCCCATGGTGTCGTAACGACTCAGACTCATCTTCCCACGAGCTGCCAGAGATCCCACCAAAGGGTCCCTGTCCTGCCTCGTCCCCATCTCAGATATATACACATAGGTCCATTGGACATCTGGTGCAGGAGAGCCAAGATGTGACAGGAAACATGGGGAAGAGGGTGCAGAAACTGCCTGAGGTAATTCTGGAAGCCAACAGGCAGGCAGGATGCAAGGAATACACATAGGAATGATGACAGTCTCTACAGACACTCTTAACTTGGCCTGAGAAAGTCAAACCCACTTATTTTCACACAGGTGGCTATGTATGTCCCCCACCCACCCACCCACCCACACACACACGATGCACAGCCACACACAGGTATCGCCACACCACACAGATAGCTTACCCTCTATGAAGACCAGTGCTCCCAGGACAAGCAGCCCTGGTCCCCAGCCTTGCTTCATGCTGCTCCAGGGCACTCTGCTTCCTGTGCTCTGGTTCTCCGAGAGGCCACTTGGGTCTCCCTGGCTCCACCTCTGCTCCGCCCCCAGCTGGCTAGGAGTCAGGCGTCTTTGCTTTTTTTGGGGCTGAAGGGAGCCAGCAGCTCTTAACTCAGGAGCTATGGCTGTGTGACCTTGGGCTGATTACCACCCATCTTTAGACCTGGATCATGGAGCCAGACTGCCCTGGTTCGAATCTCCACTCATTACTTCAGTGCCCTTCAACAATTAACCTGTCCGTGTCTTTCTGAAAAACTTAAAAGTTGTTGAACATAAAAATAACATAAGAGCCTAGCTTCTAGTAGACTCACTGCCAGCATGGGAACATCATCATGAGGGAGCTGTGAAGGTCACAGATGGAGGCTCCCCTGGTTACCAGGTTTCATTTCAGCTTCCCTGTGTTTCAGGCCAGGGCCAGGTAAGTTTCACATTCCTTGTCTCCATGTCTGCTTCTGAGCAGTGTGTACAGGATTAAGTGTCTGTTGAGCTCAGTCTCTACTTCTTGCTGGTTGTGAACTTATTGTAAATCCCAACATCTCTCTGGACCTGCTGCCTTTCCAGGAAACAGGTAGTGTGGTACTCACTTTTCTTTCTTTCTTTCTTTTTTGTACTAAGGATCAAACTCAACCTCATGCTTGCCAGGCAGGCACTTATGCCACTGAGCTAAATCCCCAGCCCCTCCACCTTTCTTGAAAATGGGAAAGACTAGGTTGGAAAGAATCCTTTTTCTCTTTGATTTATAGTTCAGGCCAGCTCAGACTGTTCAGAAACCCTGATCTTACCCCAGAGTTTATCACACAGACACTGATGCCAAATGGCCCAGGTAAACTCAAACTGTGGTAGGACAGGGCTGGGGCAGCTCAGAAGCAGAGTGCTTGCCTTTTTTTGTGTGTGTGTTTTTCATTTTTATTGGTACCAGGGATCGAACTCATGACCGCCTGCTGGCAAGGCAGGTGCTTATGCTGCTGAGCTAAATCCCCAGCCCCCATGCTTGCCTTTTTTTCAGTGCATGTGTGAGGCCCTACACTGAAGGTGAGGGGTAAGTCAGATCTCCTTAACCCCTTCACAGCACTAAATATGTGATCTTAGGTACAGCCTCTCTATCTTGATTTCTTCACTGATAGGGATACTAACAGTGTTTGGCTCTTACAGTTGGCACAAGGATTAATTTATTTACATGTTAACGTAAGTTCTTAAAACAGTGTTTAGCATGTGGCTAAGTCCTCAGAACATAATAGGAAAAAATAAAACAAAAAAACACACCCTAGTCCTGACCCTTCAGGTCTACCTGGCTTGGATTGGTAGATAAGGCAGCTGGAGGAATTAAGGTTAGATACAGGAAGAAGTTCCCAACCAATACAGATGGAGCCAGAAGGGCAATGTGTCCCGGCAGGTGCATGTATAACTCTACCAGGAAGGGAACATTGGCTCCTATAGGCAGCAAGAACAAGCTGCCAGCCTGTTTTCTAGGGGTGGGGGCTGACAGCATCCTAGGCCTGGCTGACTCTCCACGCCCAAGTGAGACTAACAACAAACACCTTTCTTGGGCAGGCTCTCCACTCTCCCTCTGACTCACATTTTCAGAGTTACAGGAAAGGGAGCACTAGAGAAACCCAATACTAAGGTCCTAACACACAGATGGTTCAGACTTGGCCAGCTTATTTAGGAAATTTTATTGCTTAGAACCTTCCCTTTCAGGGGAGTAGCAGAAACCAGCCCTTGGAGAAAGAGCTAGAGGCACATTTGGTCCACTCTCCTATGTGATTATGGATGGGGTGGGGAAGAATGCAAGGCCTTCAAGGGACTCAGATATGGCTTAACTGGGCAAGGCTTAGGCCAAAGCAAAGCAGGTGAGGTCATCCTAGTTTGAGGTGAGGCCTCAGTGTTGCTTGGTCTTGCCCTGGGGTTCTTGGACCTCTCGGAAGCTAAGCCACATCAGGCCCACATTGACAGCATAGGTGGTGATGCAAACAATGCAAAAATCATACAGCACGAAGAACAGGATCCAGGCTAAGTAGACAGAACCAGCAAGGGACATTAGGGAACTCAGCACCAGCAGGATAGAAGCCCAGCGTCCCCTCAGACAGCCTGCAAAGGAAAAAAGTGTCAGGAATGGCTATCTTTAGAGCATGCCATGACTTCCTTGTGCTGCCCACATACAGGGGCTGCTGGGAGACTAATGTAAGAGGGTCTGACAGGTCCACTCTCTAAGACCTTGCTTCCCCCATCTGTTCAGTGATCCCTGAGACAAACAGAGACATTGCCTTCTGAGTTCTACATAAGAAAGACACCTTTGATTTCCCTCAAAAAGCAATTTCTGCTGGGTGTGGTGGTGCACACCTGTGATCCTACACTCAGGAGACTAAAGGAGAGCTGAGGATAGCTGAGTTCAAGGCCAATCTGAACTACATAGTGAGCTCAAGATCAGCCTGAACTTCATAGCAAGATACTGTCTCAAAAAATCAAAAGGGGTGGGCAGGGGAAAGAAAAAAAGGAATTTCTGAGCTGTGTCTAGTGGCACATTCCATTCCAATAATCTCAGTACTCTAGGGCAGGAGGATATAAATTTGAGCTCAACCTGGGCAAGTCACCAAAGGGAAATAGCCCAGACCCTCTTTCCCCCCAAAACGCGAGTTTTTCTTCAAAGCTGAGATCTGGTAACATAGAAAGTCCTGAAGGGCCCTGACTGTACCTAAACCAACTGGAAGACTCCTAGTTCCCTCCCTGCCCCTTGGGCCTGATGATGCTTACTGATGAGCAACTGGCTATCAACTGTCTGGGTCACCAAGACTGCTTGGGTTGGGGCTGAGCTGGCTTCCTAAAGGAGAATGGTTATGAAGGCGTGGAGCCACTCACCTAACAACAGCTGTAGTGAATAGAAAATGCAACCAAATATGCTGTTAGATTGATTGAGGACGCTGTCAGCTCCCAGCACAGGCTCCACCAGCCCAAAGCCTCGGCCCCACCTGGTGGCAGTGATGGGAATCAAGTTAGTATCAACTGGAAAGGTGACCTCCAGAAGCCACTGTTTTCCCCACTATTCCTGGTGTCCAAGGGCCGATGAACTCCTCCCCTCTGAACCTTTGTCTACACCAGGATTCCATGTCACTCCCATCCTTCTCTATTTCCAGGACTGGCCTGGCTGTGGCCCTTCCACAGGCTCCTCTTTTAGCCCTAGAAATGTTTTGTTTTGTTTTTGGACAGGGTCTTGATATGTAGTTCTAGCTAGCCTTGCCCGCACTATGTAGTACAGGCTGGCCTCGAACTTGCAGCAATCCTCCTGCCTCATCTCTCACTGCTGGGATTATAGGTGCGCAAAACTGCTGTCGATGCCAAAGCAGGCATAATGGTTGGCTTCGCTTTATAGTTAAACGTGCTGGGAAATCTAAGGCACATTCTCTTTGCCCTGAATCCACAAATCTCGAGCTTCTAGGCCACTCATCCCACTCATTCTGCTAACCACTAATCCCCTGATCCACAAGCACACCCAGATCTAGTCATCTTGTCTCCAGGTACAGCCATCACGGAGTCTCCCCACCCCCATCCCTCGCAGCCATTCTGGGTCTTTCATCAGTCCGTAGACTCTAACTCTCTCCCTATTCGGATCACCGTTATTCCTTGGCATTTGGATCCACATGAGATTCTCTGGAATCTTGGCCCCTTGCCCAACACTCATCGGGAACACCAATATCTCTGAATAGCCCGGCCCTTTTGCATATCGCCTCGAGCAGTTCAGGTTCAGAGTTCCTCCGCCACTTTGATGTCAGATTCCAAAATCATCCGACAACCTGGCCTGGTTTCCAGCACCCAAACTTTTCACGCTTTTTGCGCGCACCTGGAGGAGAAGACGCGAGAACAGCTGATGGCAGTGCCCACGTCGCAGAGCGCGCGATAGTCCCGGTCGCGAGCGTGCGCCGCCTTCACGTGCAGAGCATAGAGAGAGAGCATCAGGCCTGAGACGCAGAGTGCAAGCCGCACCCACCCAGGGTTCCTCCAGGTGGAGCCCATATCTGCAGGTCCAGCTTCAGGGCCAGGTGGCGAAGAACCAGCCGCGGAGTGGGCGGAGCCTGGCTGAGCCCCGCCCCCTTGACCAGTCAGCTGGGTGACTGGCTGATCCAGGCTCGTACTCCCTGATCCGATTGGCTATTCTCGGCACTCAATAGACGCCACGAGGAGCACGAAAAAGCAAGGAATGCTGGGGCTGTAAACTGGATCGAGGGAGGTGGGTAACCTCAGACACAACGGCACCGGGCCTGATGGGAACTGTAGTCTGTAGTTGGAGGGGCTGCGAGTCAAGGGAAATGTAATATTCTCGTGACTAAGAGTATTTAGCGCTTTCTCTATGCCAACCCCTATTCTAAGTATTCTAAGCACATCCACGACCTAGGTCCAATTCAAGCAAGCGCTGAATAACTATTTCAGACACTGCTAGGATTACAACCTTCTACCTTCCCGATTTACTCAGCCATTTCTTCTGCCTCACCCGTACTTTCAATAGCAGTTTTCTGTCCCGTAGATTCCGTTACCTTGGCCACACCTTTTACAATTTTCCAACCTCTGTACTTGTCGTGGCGCGCCGTGGAAAAATTTGAGCTTGCATCAACCTGACAGGCACTCCTTTCCAAGCTCCCCTTTACAGACAACTCTGCCTCCTGAAAGACCCATTTCTTTTGTACTTTCAAATTCTCCATCTTTCCCCTCTGCATGAAGACTTACTTCTTGTTTCAGAAAGAGCAACAAGCCCCCTTGTCCAAGAGGACCTTGCTAGTACCCTCCTCCCTATGATCCTAATTCTTTCCTTCACAGCCAAGGTTTGAGAGAAAATTTACATTCCTGTTCTTTGTTTCCTCTCATCTTCCTGGCTGCACACCATATAAACTAGCTTCTACCCCTAGACACTCCCTTGACAATTAGTGATGGGGTCACCAAAATGCTAAATCCAATGGTTATTTTTCTTTTTTTTTTTTGTCTTTTTCCTTTTTACCGGTACCAGGGATCGAACTCACGACTGCCTGCTTGTAAGGCAGGCACTTATGCTGCTGAGCTAAATCCCCAGCCCCCCAATGGTTATTTTTCAAATTTCATCTTGCTCAACTTCGCTGTGATGTTAGTCACTGTTGCAGACTCTCTCCTGTGAACTGTTTTCCTCTGGGTACTGTGATGTCCCCCTCTCCTGAAGACCCTCTTTTCTTCTCAGAGCTATTTTGCTTATTCCAGGAAGTGGTAGGTCAAATAATGGTCTCCAAAAACCTGCACATCCTAATCCTTGGAACATGTGACTGTTAGGTTATATGGCAGAAAGAAATTAAAGTCACAGATGGATTAAAATCACTAATCTAGGGGCTGGGGATTTAGCTCAGTGGCATAAGCACCTGCCTTGCAAGCAAGCAGTCGTGAGTTCGATCCCTGGTACCGATAAAAACGAAAAAGACAAAAAAAAATCACTAATCTACTGATTTTAAAAGTGATATCCTGGGCTGGGCATTTAGCTCAGCAGCACAAGTGTCTGCCTGGTAAGCACAAGGTCATGAGTTCAATCCCTGGTATCCCCCCCCCCAAAAAAAAAACCCCAAAAAAGATAATATCCTGAATTAATAGATGATCCGATGTAATCACAAGAGTCCTTGTCTTGGTTATTTTTCTCTCATTGGGGCTGGGGGTTTAGCTCAGTGGTACAAGCGCCTGCCAGGCAAGTGCCAGGTCATGAGTTCGATCGCCAGCACCAAAAAAAAAAAAAAAAAGAGTAGGTATTTTTCTCTCATTGATGGGACAAAATACCTAACACCCAAAGTTAAAGCAGGAGAGGTTTATTTAGCTCACAGTTTGTGGAGGTTTCAGTTCATAATCTGCTGGGTCCAAGGCAGGTTGGTGTGGCAGAGGGCAACAGTTCATGGCAGTGGAAAACAGCAAAAGCAACAAGAGCAAAAAGGGAAGATTGTGGAGAGAAGACTCTTTTTGCCTCTTATTTTGTATGTAGTCTACCCACCCTAGGATGGGTATAGCACTTACACCCATCATCCCAACACTGGATCATGAATCAGTCACAAACTCAAGAAGCCGACCTCAGGGAAGCAGGCCTCCATGACTGCATGAGGCTTTGGGGGAACATCCAGACACAAACCATAAAGGTCCTTTTATTTTTTTCTTCTTTCCATTGGTACATCCCAGCCGTTTTTTCATTTATTTTGAAACAAGTTCTGGCTAAGTTGCTAAATTGCCCAGGTTGGGGTTAAATTTGTGATCCTCCTGGCTCAACCTCCCAGAGTGCGGGCATTACAGACGTGCACCACCATTCCTGGCTTAGGCTTCCATTCTTGCACCTGTAAAATGAAGAGAAAAATAACAACCATCTTAGACAGTAATTATAAAGATGAATCAATACATATAAAGAGCGTCTCACCACAGCTCAACTCCCTATCTGCAGGGCTTTAGGTGCAGGCTTGTGTGGCACATGGCTGGCTTTTGCCGCTGGGGGCACCAGCGAGCCCAAGCCAAGAAAAGGGTCAAACCGGGTGAGACAGGTACCAGACGTCTTCAGCCTTGGGCCAGCCGCCAGCCGCCAGCCACCAGTCACCACTCCTGCTCACGCCGCGGACACGTGAGTGCAGAGTCCTGGCGCAAAACAAGCACTCTGAGTCCCCTGCTTCTGGCGCAGAGGACTGCCCTCCCTTCCCGGAGCATTCTCTCTTTCCTTGTGCTAAAACTGTGCCGGCCTCCGGAGCCAGCGACCTCTTGGCTTTACTCCAGGATGTTGCCAGGATGTTGGAAAAGAAAGTGTAGGAATAGCTCGGGGAGGCAGGGTGCAAGGAAGAAACCCAGGAATTCAGGGAGTCCCTTTCCCAAGATCTAAGTAAACCTTCCTCCAGTTCCTCAGGCAGGCCAGCCTAATAATAAGCCCCCTACCTCTGAGTTTCAAGACAGCCTCCAAAGATGTCCCTACTTCATGGTCCTGGGATTGAATCCAAGAGCTACATTTCCAGCCTCCTTTTTAAAATTTTATTTATTTATTTATTGTTTTGAGACAAGGTTTCCTAAAAGTACTACATTGTCTAGACTGGGCCACTGATCTCTTGCCTCAGCCTCAGCCTCCTAGAGTGTTAGGATTATGGAAATATACTGCTAAATTCAGCTCATTTTTCTTTTTAAAAATGTAGAGTACACAGATCAAACTCTACCTAACTTCTCTGAGGTCCCACTCTTCCGCAGCTCTGAACTGGGAACCTAGATTGCCTACTTCAAACTCCAACTTGGCCCTTTAATATGTGAGGAAAAATTTGGAAAAATCTGTAACTAGTGTAATAAAAATCCAGTAAGGAAGGGAAAGATGGGGAGAGATGTGGAAGAGGAAAACAGAAAGAGAAGAGAAAAGAAAAGAGGAAGAGGTATATTCTGTCACCTCCTGCCTGGATAAGGAATTGTTTTTTCACTGGGCTTTCTGATTTTGGGCCCATTGGCCAGTACAGCCAGTCAGAACAGCCAGAGGGTTCTAAAGAGCAGGGCCCATAGTCAAAACCTTCCAGCACTTCCTAATTCCCTCCTTCCTGAGCTTCACATTCAGCTCCTCTCATTCCCAGACTGTAGCGACATCCTCAGATCAGCCAGGCTGTTCTCTAGCCTACCATACCTCTCCTGTTCCAATTCCCTTGCCTGGCCAAGTCCTACTCACACTGCACCTGTACCAAGCTCCCAGGTCTTCCCTGGTGCTCCGACAGCTCCCTGAGGCCCTGTGGTGTGATTGAATGGTCTAGGAAGGCAAGATCAGCCCTGGAAAGCAGTTTCCATCTCTGGGACAGGGATAGGCAGACTAGTTAGGATCAGAACCCAGATGACCTGTGCTCCTCAGGGTGGTGGACAGTCTATTTGGAATTCACCACCAGATCTTCTCCACTGGCACAGAAAAGTCAGTCAGTGTGACTGGCACTCACTAGAATCAGGGATTAAAAATACCTAGCACTTGAGTAATGCTTCTTCTATGCCTGGAACAGTTCTAGGTACTTTCCATATATTAATTAATTGTAACCTACCTAACCCTAAATTTAATTCTGTATATGCTAATATCAAAAAGCACTAAGCAGTTCCTTTATCTGCCACGTGTATTAAAGGGCCAAGTTGGGGGTCTGAGCTAGGCAGTCTAGGTTCCTAGTCTAGAGCTGTAAAAGAAGGGGACTTCAGAGGAATCAGGTAGAGTTTGATCTGTGTGCTTTACATCCTGCTGCAACTATCTACCAAGTGTCCCATTTTATTGAGAAGTTAAGACTTACACCACAGGCTATTTCTGGAGCTCTGTGGAGGGAGGTCCAAGGAGAAGGGGCACAGCCAGGATGGGCCGAAGCCAGGGGTGGAGCCTGTGTATGAGGGGGTACGTCCTTAGCGCCAAACTACAGCTCCCAGGAGGCCCCGGGCGCCACAGCTAGTCAACGTCACCGCGACAGAGGGCGCAGGCGGCCCGGCTATCCCAGCCGGTCAACTGGGTGGTTCCGCTCGGACCCAGGCCCCGGTCCCAGCCTCGAGGTAACCCGGCAGACCTGCGGGCCGAGGTCCTGTTCAGGTCCGCAGCTTGCAACACTGCGCGGGAATGAGCCTGGGCGGAGGTCTGGTTTCTACCTTGTAGGGAGGATCCGGGCCGGACCAAGTGCCCTGCCGAGGGGGACTCGGACGGGCGCCCTCCACCCCCGCACTTCTGCATCATTCGCCCGGCCCGGCACCGGGCACCGGAGGGGCAGCTCCGCCCCCTGAAAGAGGGCGACTGGGCCCCCGCAGGAGCCAGGCGAACTCTGCAGGAGGGAGGGCGCGGGGATCCCGCCGCCCTTCCCAGGGCCACCAGGTAGAGCCCCAGACTGAACAGACCCGCAGTTTTTCAGGCTCCGAAGGTCTGTTTGGGAAGGTAGCTGAGAGGCGGAGCAGAAACTGCCCAGGTCTGAGGATGATGGGTCCTGGTGCCCAAGTGCAGAGGGGTGCGGGTCGTCTGGTATGGATTCTAACAAGTCCGCGTTCCCCTGCCCTGGCAGATGGGAGGTTCGGTTCTGGGGCTGATCCTGTCAGCAGCCTTCACGGACCCGCGCCCCTGAAGTCTGGCAAGAGCCCCTGCCTGCCTGCATTCTACGGCGTTTTGGGGTCCTCAACTCCGTTGGCAGCCCAGACCGACGAAACAGCGGGGCTATGATACTGGCGTCGGTGCTGGGGAGCGGCCCTCGGGGCCGGCCTTCACTGCGGCCGCTACTGGGACCAGCACTCTCGCTGAGGGCCCGCTCAACCTCTGCCACCGATACCCACCATGTGGAGATGGCGCGGGAGCGCTCCAAGACCGTAACCTCCTTTTACAATCAGTCAGCCATCGACGTGGCTGCGGAGAAGGTGCGCTGCAGAGGGGTCAGCTGGAGTGGGTGTCCAGGGAGCAGGTGGAACTGATGCGGGTGGGTGCTGGAGGTCAAGTCCTCAAGATCTATCTACCCCTCCAGCCCTCAGTCCGCCTCACTCCAACCATGATGCTTTATTCCGGCCGCTCTCAAGACGGCAGCCACCTTCTGGTAAGATTCTTGTTCCCTCTTTTCCCAGCGCTCCTGGAGCTCTGGCCAGCCACTCAGGCCCTGGCCCTGCCTTCCTTCTGTGTCTCACAGAAAAGTGGCCGGTATCTGCAGCAAGAGCTGCCAGTAAGGATCGCTCACCGCATTAAGGGCTTCCGCAGCCTTCCCTTCATCATCGGCTGCAATCCCACCATTCTGCACGTGGTAAGGCAGAGGTAGAGACGACCTTAAATTGGTGCGCATTCAGCCCAAGGGGCACATAGAGAGCCTGGGCCTGCCAGAGTGGCAGAGAGTAGCTGCTGAAAGGGCTCAGCCTCAAACCTTTGAAGGCCAAGGTTACATATTCATAGAGGTTAAAGGTGGGGTTTGGACCATGTAAAAGTGGGTTGGGTGTGATCCCCATAGGTAGGCCTGGGTATCTGTTTCCTACCCAGTGCCCCTGGCAGCCTTGTAAAATCTTGTACTTCTCTCTTGCAGCATGAGCTGTACATCCGTGCCTTCCAGAAGCTGACAGACTTCCCTCCGGTGAGGCTGGGCCAAGCAGGGTGAGGGGCTGAAAGCACAGGTTGGACCACCTGTGCTTATGACTCTGTGACCTGCATGCAGATCAAGGACCAGGCGGAGGAAGCCCAGTATTGTCAGCTGGTGCGACAGCTGCTAGATGACCACAAGGATGTAGTGACTCTCTTAGCCGAGGGTCTGCGTGAGAGCCGCAAGCACGTAGAGGTCAGGGAAATAAAGTAGGGGCCTGAAGTAGGGGTGCTGGGCAGGGCACAGGTTACTGAGGCCCCACTCTACAGGATGAAAAGCTTGTCCGCTACTTCCTGGACAAGACACTGACTTCAAGACTTGGGATCCGCATGTTGGCCACTCATCATCTGGCACTGCATGAGGACAAGGTGGGGCTCTGGGAGAGAAAACTGAGGTAGGGGTTTTCTTGGTTTGGGGACCTGGGCCAAGGACCTGGAGGAGAGGCTGCTTTGGCATTCTAGGAGTTGCAAGCATTTGGCAGCCAGGATCGGGGCAGAGGGCTTGCTAGTCCTGACATTTTTTCTCCTGCCAGCCTGACTTTGTTGGCATCATCTGTACTCGTCTGTCACCCAAGAAGATTATTGAAAAGTGGGTGGACTTTGCCAGGTGAGGCTAAGGGATGGATCTTAGGACAGGGAAGGTTTAGGTCTGAGTCCTTGCCTGGGGCATGGAGTAGGGTGGGGTTTCTTAACTGTGGCATTAATGTGCTTGTGTGTGTGTGCGCGTGTGTGTGGCACTGAGGATGGAACTAAGCACCTTCTCACTGAGTGACACCCCAGCAGCTGTCTTTTTGAGACAAATTTATGGTTGGCCTTCACCTTGGGATCCTGCCTTAGCCTACTGAATCACTGGGATATAGACATTTGTCGTCTTGCTTGGCTGGCACTATTAACATATTATTGTGCTTTGTAGTGTGCAAGTTAAAATGTTTCTGTAAGACCCACAACTCATACTCACTTGATCCCAGTAACAACCCCTAGATGTAACAAGTAAAAATATTTCCATACTCTGCCAGATGTACCTAAGGCGAGCAAAACTGCTGCTAGGTGAGAATTACTACTCTAATGGAACCAGTCTGAACCTTTCTTCAATCCATAGACGCCTGTGTGAACACAAGTATGGCAACGCCCCCCGCGTCCGCATCAATGGACACGTGGCTGCCCGCTTCCCCTTCATCCCTATGCCGCTGGACTATATTCTACCCGAGCTGCTCAAGAATGCCATGAGGTGGGCCAGCTGGATATGGTGGATGGGGACAGACAGAAACCAAGATGCTACCACCTACTGTCTTTACTTTTGCATAGAGCCACAATGGAGAGTCACCTAGACACTCCCTACAATGTCCCAGATGTGGTCATCACCATCGCCAACAATGATATCGATTTCATCATCAGGTTTGCCCTGAGCAGTGGAGTTGGGCTAGGGTGAGAGGGGAGCAGTTCCAGACACTGTTTCTGGATTGCTCTGGGACCTTGAGCCAGTATCTGCCCCCCTGTGGAACTTGGACCCTTACCACTGAGTGACAGAAAGAGTCTCTGGTTCTGAGACTGTCTGATCTGGATACTAATGGGTTTAGGGCCAGTTGTGGGCCCAGTACCCTGCCTCTGTCAGCAACTGAGGGGCCTGGAGTCTTTGAGGCTGGGCTAGTGTAAGCAGTTAGTGACCCTAGCAGAGGCAGGGATAGAGAAAGTCAGCTTAAACAAAAGGCCCAGTGTCAAGATGGGCTACACTCTGCCTTTGTATGGAAGGAACAGGAAGTCAGACTAACACTGTCTGCTTGGGAGGTAGTCAGACCCTATGAACCTAAGCCAAGCCCATGTTTTCAACATTCTGCCAGGATTTCAGACCGGGGTGGAGGAATTGCTCACACAAACTTCGAGCGGGTTATGGATTACCACTTCACTACGGCAGAGGCCAGCACACAGGACCCCCGCATCAACCCTCTCTTTGGCCATCTGGACATGCACAGTGGCAGCCACTCAGGACCCATGCATGGGTGAGACCCCACCTGGCCAGGCTTGGGGTGGGGGTGAATGCAGGAGACTCAAGCCTCTGAAGCCTCCTGTTCTGTCTGCCCTCAGCTTTGGCTTCGGGTTGCCCACATCAAGGGCCTACGCAGAGTACCTTGGTGGTTCCCTCCAGCTGCAGTCCATGCAGGGTATTGGCACAGATGTCTACCTACGGCTCCGCCACATCGATGGTCGGGAGGAAAGCTTCCGGATCTGACCCCTGGCTTGCTTGCTGGCTCACACTAGGCCACATACCCTGCCAGGACCTTCTGAGTTGGGCGTGGTGGCACTGTGCTCCACACACTGCTGCATCTTGGGTCTTTAGGCCCCAGCCAAACGGACTTACATGGAGCTGGGCGCCACTCCTCCTTAGCAGGTCCCACTGGTTCCTTACCTCCAGGACATGGAGGGGAGGAAGTGGGATCTCTGGGACTCTAGCACCAGCTCTGTCATTTTTGTTCCTGGGGAACCCCTATTTGACCTGCTGTTTGTTATTAAAGTTCATATTCTCAATGCCCTCTTGGGCCCTGTCTGTGGGGAGGTTAGGGGAGCTTTTGTTTCTGCCTTTTCAGGTTTCCTGTGTCCTTGGATTTATTTAAGTTGTTCATGTCATAATCTCTGACTGACTGTCTGGTGGACAGGAACAGAATTGGCTTCAAGTCTTACCTGTTTTATTTGGCAGGAAGGGAGGTGACTTTGGCAGTTTATGCAAAGATCTTCTATTCATCTAATTCAATGGATTTTTCTGAGTCCTAGACTCAGCATTGAAGGCCGCAGCTTTAGGCTCTATTTCTGAGTCTTCCCTTCCTGGCAGCTGTAGGTTTTAGAGATGAGGGTTCTTAGACTAGGCACCCTCCTAAGCCACCTGATTCCTGAGCCTGAGACACATAAAAAATACTGCCTGTCAACTGCCAAGATAAGGAACATACAAGGTTGTGCCCTGACAGGCCCAGTAAAGACTTCGGTGCCCCACAAGAGAAAGGCAGGCACTAGAAAGGAAGGGAACTCCAGAAAAGGAAAGGACTCCAGATAAGCAGATGGGCTCAGAATTAGATTTGAGATAGAACTTTTTTTGTTGTTTTGTTTTGTTATTTTTGAGACAGAGTCTCATTATGCAGTTGAGCTTACTTTGTAGCTCAGGTTGGTCTCAAACTTGAAAAGATTCTCCTGCCTCAGCCTCCTGAGTGCTAGAATTACAAGTGTGTACCACCACACCTGATGTGAGGTAGAATTTATGAGAATTCCAGGTTACACTTTAGTAGGGAACACCCTACCCACCTTGTCAGGGACAAAGCCCTGAAGACCTACCTGATCGGATTGGAGTGACATTACACAGTCTCTTGTCCTTCAAGGTGATGGATTTGGGGATTGAGGGGAGACAGATTGTTTCTGGATGACAAATGGCAGTTGATGGAATGACATGATGCTTGGTTATTCTGAAATCGTGCTGGACGCAGTACAAAGAGGTGCAGAAGGAAAGGTAAGCAGGGCGTTATTCTGAGGTAGTAGGGATCCACAGATGGGTTTTAAGCTAGGAAGGCATATTTCAGGTTGGGTTACCTAGAAACCAACTCTGAAAGGAGGACTTATAAATGATGGTAAGGGAGGGCTGGGGATTTAGCTCAGTGGTGTAGTGCCTGCCTGGCAAGCACAAGTCCAAGAGTTCAAAGCCTGGTACCAAAAACAAAACAAAAAATTAATAATATGACTATAAATGATGGTAAAGAAAGTGCTTCAGATGGCAGTTTGGGAAGCAGGAAAGAGAAGGGGGAGAAGCCAAACAAGAGTGATGATCTTGGTAAAAGTCTAGAGGCAGGGTGAGGGTGTGGCTGAGTGGTAGAATGCTTGCCTAGCCATTTGAGAAGTGAGTTCAATCCCTGGCACTGCCAAAAACCCCCCAAAGTTCAGAGCTACTCAATTATGCCTCAGAGGCCATTGGAAGAACATTAAAGGTAGGTAATCTAGGCAAACAGAAACAACAAGAAGGACCTGGCTGTAGCCCTACATAGTTCTAGAAGGACAAGTCACATTTACATATTAGAACTACTGGTGGCCATTGGATAGGTGACAGCACAGTGAGGTGGCTGCAGTGACCCTGAGCAGGGATTTATAAGGCCTAGGCTAATCCTTAACTAGAACGGTGAGGCAGAAGAACCCCAAATGAGTGAAGTAAAATTTCTGAAGATAGGCATTACAGATTTCTTTTATTTCTTCCATTTCTTATGCTACAGTATCTAGCATTCACTCCCTACTCCCAAAGTCATTTCCCAAAATGGAGGTTACCAGCTCCTCCCACTGCCGCTTCCCACATATAACCTGACTCAGGTATTTCCTGAATTGTAATCTCTGAACCCATCTTCAGGTCCTGAGCATTACATCCCTCTTTGAATTGTTTCTGTTTTGAAGCCAAACAGCCAAATTACAAATCAAGTAACTTCTGAGAATGGTTAAAGGAAATGTTAAGTACATACTCTGTCTAGCATTATGCCACACATCACCAGCCCCACCCTCTGCTCTGCCCAGCTTTTTTATTGTTGGTTATTTGGGACAGGGTCTCACTGTGCAGTTTAGACTGGCCTTAAACTATGTAGCCCAGGTTGGCCTTGAGCTTGTGGCAGTCCTTTGGCCTTGGCCTCCCAAGTGCTGGGATGGCATTACAGGCGTGTGCCGCCATACCTGGCTTCTCCAACAGGTGGTGCCCATCCTGGCTCAACCTGGTCTCTTTTTAGAGACAGGGTCTCCCTAAGTCATTGTGTTGCTCAATCTACACTAGAACCTGTGAGCTTCCTCAGCCACCATCCTTGGATGTGCCACTATGCCTGACTGAGAAGGAACTTTTTAATACCAGCTAGCTGATTAGAAGATGACAGTGATTCTTGTCCCTGAAAAGCCATCTTACAGCGAAGCTTATTTAGGAGCAGTCAATATAAGAAATGAGTGGCTGAAGGCTGAGGCAAAAGGATCGTTTCGAGTTCAAATTTGAGGCCACCTGAGCTACAAAGTGATGTACACTTTCTCACAGGTGAAGGTTTGTGACAAATAATGCCTAGTCAAGAGATGCTTGCCAGTTCTATAAATCTTAAGAACAAAAATCTTTATATTTCACCTGGTTATTGTGAAAGATAAGGGTCATGTGGAATTGCTTGAGATATGATCTCTGCTCCATTTACATACAAGTAAGATGGTTTAACGTTCTCATAGGATTTATATAGTTGTATAGTGCCTATATAATATATGTAAACTTTGATGAATCTCAGCAGTTTACCCTTTTGTCCACCTTTAACAGCTGAGGGTCAGAACTAAACCTCACTCATTGCTAAAATGCTCTTTATTGTATCCACTGCCCCATCCTTTCTTTAAAAAGTCTTTATTTAAAAAAAAATAAAATAAAAAGTCTTTATTCTATCAGAGTTAGTGGCTCTGCAGAACCCCAACACTTGGCAAGCTGAATTTGAAGCCACCTGCACTGCATCACCAGCCACTGTTAAACAACTTTGGGGGTGGGGATTTGGTTCAGTGGCAGAGCACATGCCTGGCAAGCGCAAAGTCCTGAGTTCGATTTCTGGTACCAAAACCAAAGCAAAACAAAACAAAACAAAACAAAACAAAACAAAACTTTAACCTGAAAAGCTTATTCTGAGGCCATACACCTGAAAGGTGGAATTCAGTTGGACACAAAAATGAATGATCGTTAGTCAGGCATTGTGTAATCCCAGCACTCAGAAGGCTGAGGCAGGACTGTTGGAAGTTGGAGACCAGCCTGGGCTACAAAGTTGAGTTCAGGGACAGCTCAAACTGCATAGGAAAACCCTGCCTCAAAAAGAATAAATAAATAAATAATCAGTTGTTACTGTTACTGTTTTTTTGTTTGTTTGTTTTTTAAACATCTGAGGATGATTCATTGGCTACTCCTGGACATATCTGTTCTTTTCCAGTCCCGTATCTTTTTCCAACCCTGAACAAAGGACGCAGTTTTTTCAATTTACAAATAGGTATTAAGCAGGCGCAGTGGGTAAAGCGGGGACAGGAGGTAGGGTTTGCTAATTCAAGGCTCAATCCTGTGCCAGATAACCAGGGAGATGCTCTGATTCCACCTGTTAGAAGACAGCAGCCCTGAAGACTGACACATCTTGGTTTCCACAGCATCGTACTTTTAAAGTTTTTGAACTATATCATCATAGTAGGAAAGTCTGTCTTCACTGCCCTAAGGGGAAGCACCTTAACGCCGCACCAAAAATGAACTCAAGTCATCTCAACGCTCACCTCCCAGAAGCAGCAGCGCCACGGATTGGGACTCCAGGATCTAAACACTCCAGCTACTTCACAGCCCCACCCACAAGCCTGAGCCCCGCCTCCACACACGCTGACCCGGAGCTGAAAGAGCGGCTCGGTGCTAGACTCTAGCGTCACTTCCGCCACGGCAATGGCGGCACAGGGGGCAGCTGCGGCAGTTGCAGCAGCGACTTCAGGGATCGTGGGAGAGGGTGAACCCGGCCCTGGGGAAAATGCAGCGGTCGAGGGAACCGCCCCATCCCCGGGCCGCGTCTCTCCTCCGACCCCAGCACGCGGCGAGCCTGAAGTTACGGTGGAGATCGGAGAAACGTACCTGTGCCGGCGGCCGGACAGCACCTGGCGTGAGGGCGGGGCCCAGTGTTTAGGGGCGGGGCTATGGGATGGGCCCTGAGAACTGGTTCCCTGGAGGGCTAAGTGCTTTCGGTTGGAAGTTGTGAGGGGAGGAGGAGGCGGTGATTTGAGGAAAGGCGGAGTTGCAGGCCCTGAGAAATCAGTCCTGTAATGTTACTTCTGAGCTATGATGGGCAAAACCTGCAAAGCTGCCAGCAAGGCGATCATCAAACTTCCTTGCGTGGTATTAGCTTCATTCCGTTTTTTGTTAATCCTGCTTACTCACAGGTCTGTTGTCTCTGTGCTTTTCTTTTCTGTGGTTTCCTACAGCACCATCAAAGAGGGCATGGCAATGCAAGCACAAGTTGGCTATTTTCTTACATTCCGTTGCCTTTCCTCATCTTCAAAATAAACTCCTGTCAGTGGCATTAATTTCTGTGACCCATCCAGTTTAACCCTAGCCACCTCACAAAGCCATTGCTATATCAGAACACACTGTGTATTCTGAATACCTTTTACCATTGTGTCTTCTGCTTGGAATGTCTCGTGTAGCTCCTCCTCATCGTTTTAACTTCATCCTTTGTGATGCCATTCTTGACCCCTTCAGGCAAATAAGTTCCTGTATGTTCCTGCAACATTTGTTTCATACTTCAACCATGGTACATGTGACATTGTGTTGTAAATTTTCTGAGTCTTCCTCTGTTAAACTGGGAACTTTTGGAGGGCAAGATCTCTGTGATTCACTGCTATGTCCTCAGTATCCAGCAGCAACACAGCACAGCATCTGACAGGCACTGGTTGCCTTATTCAAGCATCAGATGGTCTGCTAGTTGTTCCTACTGGAGTAAAAATTTTGGAGACATTAACTCAGCCTTGAGGTGGGAATTATTAATCTGATGAAGAAACTCAGGTTCAAAAAGTCAAGATAACTTGCTCAGTTACATATAGCTAGGAAATTGGGAGCAAGAAATATATAAATTTAGACTGTTTGAATCGGTGTCAGCCTTCGTGTCCTCCAAATAAATGGCTTGAGTGTGTAGTGAAATGAGTATGAATTTGGAGTCGGACTTAAAACTCAGTTAAGTATTAGCTCTTCTTGCTTTTCAAATCTATGACTCTGGATAAACATTACGTTTTTCACATCTGTGAAATAGGAGTAATAACCCCAAGTTGGCCCATCTTGCAAGGTTGTAGCAGTGCTGGATATGAGCAGATAAATCTGGATTATTGAGTAGAAACTATTCCTCGTTACATCAGTTTCTTCTTATTCTAACTCTATCTTCCTGATGATCCTAGTCTTTTTCCTTTACAGATTCTGCAGAAGTGATCCAGTCTCGAGTGAATGACCAGGAGGGCCGAGAGGAATTCTATGTGCACTATGTGGGCTGTGAGTGCTTTGGGGCCTTGAGCCTGGGTGGAGGGAGGGGGAGGCAGGGTAGTACTCTCATGGCCCATCCTAACAGTTAACAGGCGACTGGACGAATGGGTAGATAAGAACCGGCTGGCACTGACTAAGACGGTGAAAGACGCTGTGCAGAAGAACTCAGAAAAGTACCTGAGTGAGCTGGCTGAGCAGCCTGAACGCAAGATCACTCGCAACCAAAAGCGCAAGCACGATGAGATCAACCATGTGCAGAAGGTCTGGGTCCCTCCCCTTCCTTAGGGCCTAGACACCTCTGCCAAGTCCTTTAGGCCTCTTGGGCTTGGTGCCAAAACCACAGCAGGTCCTATTTTTTAACTTCTTAGAGTGTGTTAGGGACTTGACTTTCTCCTTTACTCTTTGTAGGTCAGAAAACTGAGGCTCAAAGAGGGAAAGGGTTCTACAGTCTCACAGTAAGGAAATGGTACATCAGGGACCCACAGTCTCACAGTAAGGAAATGGCACATCAGAAACTTTTGCTCAAATAACCTCTTTTGATTCCCATGGCTGTGTCATATTAGACAAAAGTCCAAAGAGAAGGAAGAGGATGAGTAATACTAGACACCTGGCTATTGCCAAGTACCATATTGTACATGTATAAGTTCATCAAATCCTCCCTAACAATGCAATACCACAAGGAAAATTGCTTTTTTGTGGATGAGGAAGCAGATTCAGAGAGGTTGAGTAATACCCCCATGGTCACACAGCTAGTAAAAAGGTGAGGTGAAATTAGAATAATTATCCCAAACATTATTGGTCTGTGAGCCAGAGTATTAGGCCAAATATTTTAGTGTATGATCTCACTAATGTTTCACATCAACTCTGCGAGGTAAACATTGCTACCAAGTTTATAGAAGAGACATAGATTTAGGAGTCCAGTCAGTATTAGATCTGCCAACCAGATTGTCCTCCTTCAGAATCTAAGTAGTTAACTATGATTTTGGTGTTTTGTTTTTATTTGAGACAGGGTCTCACTGTGTGGCCCAGGCTGGCCTTAAACTGTGGCAATCCTAATGCTTCAGCATCCTGAGTGCTGGGATTACAGGTGTGCACCAACATCCCCGTTTAACCACAATTCCGACACATCCCAGAAACAAATCCTAAAACTCATATTCTTGCTGGGTGTGGTAGGCATGGCTGTAATCCAGCCTTCAGGAGGCTGAGGCAGGATTATTGTGAGTTTAAGGCTAGCCTGAACTATATGTGAGACCCTATCTCAAAAATAAATAAGTAAAAAGCTGGGGTTGTATTTCATTGTGAAAGTCCTGGGTTCAGTCCCCATTATACAGAAAACAAACAGTGAAAAACAACACAGGCTCTTTGCTGTTGTTGTTGTTGTTTTTAAATGTACTATTAAAATACAGTACGTAGAATCTGCAGGCCATAGGATTACATTCATTGTGGGGCATTGGTTCATGTACACTGTGCATCTCTGTTCTTTTTACCAAGTTTGATTGCCCCCAGAGGGTTCCTTTCCTTCACTCTTGAGCCTTAGTTTCTTCATTTATCAAGTGAAGAGTCCAAATTAAAACAGGATTTAGCATACTGTGAAGGTACTAGCTCCATGTGGTACAGTTTCACCCTCCTGAGTGCACACTGTGTGCTTTGCAGTGCTGTTTTCCATTTGTGGGACACAGGCTATTAGGTTGCAAAGTCAAGCCAGTGGGTGTGGCCAACATTTAAGTTTTAAAAATGTGAAAAGGAAATTGGTTAAGAGAAAACCTCATGAAAAAAAGAGAAAATGTCATGACTGGGGATTTAGCTCAGCAGCACAGTGCCTACCTGGCAAGCATAAAATCTTGAGTTTAATTCCCAGTACTAAAAAAAGGAAAACAGAAAACAAAACCGAGTGCATTGCACTTTACTTAGGGTAAGTATTGTGCTGAGAAACTTTTATTTCACATACCAGTGTGGATATATACACAAAAACATAAACTGGTTTTTAGTGTCAGCTATATTGTGGCATAATTTTTTACAAAGTGGCAATGTAGGGGCTGAGGATTTAGCTCAGCGGCATAAGCACCTGCCTTGCAAGCAGGCAGTCATGAGTTCAATCCCCAGTACCGATAAGAAAAAAAAGAAAAAAAAAGTGACAACATAAAATACACTACATTAGAAAGATCCCTCCAGGTCTAAGGTAGCACTGTTCAACTGAAGTTCCTGTTATAATGGAAATATTCTATAGCTGTGCTATCCAATAAACACATAATTGTCATGGGTGGCTGTGGAACACTTGATATATACCTAGTGTTACTAAAAAATTTTTTTAAGTTTAATATACATGCATATCTATCTATCTATCTATCTAGATATATATATATATCTAGATAGATAGATAGATAGATAGATAGATAGATAGATAGATGTATATGGTTTTGTTTTTTTGAGACAAGCTCCTACTGTGTAGTTCAGACTGGCCTTGAACTTACTATGTAGCCCAGGCTGCCCTCAACTTGGAGTGATGTTTCTGTCATAGCTTCCTGAGTGCTGGGATTACAGGTGTGGGCCATTAGGCCTGGTAGAATTAAATTTATAAAGATTTAATTTAAATAGCTACATGTGACTAGTGGCTACTATATTGGACAGCAGAAATCTAAGGTCCTGTTAGATCACCAACTAATTTGCTTTGAATAAAGATGTGCCTCTACACTGATGGTACTGGGCCACCCAATGGTGACAGTCGGTAATAACTGGGCATGCTGGTGCTTGCCTGTAATCTCAATCTGGACACTTAAGAGACTCTATTTCAAAATAAAATATCCAGAGGGCCGGAGTTGTAGCCTGGTGTGAAGGTCCTGGGTACAATTTCCAGAACTACAAAAAGTTAAAAAGGGTGAGTAATAGAGCATTGCTGCACACCTGTACCCTAATCAGGAGGCTGAGGTGGGACAGTTGAAAGCTCAAAGCCAGCCTGGGCACCTTAGACCCTGTCTCCAAAACACAAAAGGAGGAGAAGAAAAAAAAAAGCTGGAGATGTGTCTTTTTTTTTTTTTTTTTTTTTTTTTTGATGTGTCTTGATACAAAGCACCTATAGCATGCACAAGCCCCTGGGTTCAATCCTTAGTACTGAAAAAAAAATTAATGATTAGCAAAGTTAATTCATAGCTTGCTTAATGTTTAATTCTAAATAAATGGCAGCATTTAAGAAAGGCAATGTTTTTGTAGTTCTTTAATGCATTTGGAAAATGGTGCTTTGAGACAATTGGGAAATGTTTTAGAGACATAAGAAGAAAAATCTTTTTCTTCCTCTTTACAGTGTGTAGGCTCAAATTAGATATACCAGGAGTTTGTGTCCAACTCTGCTGAGAGTTCTAGTTCCATGACCTTGAGCAAGTGAATGTGCTTCTCTGTGCCTCAGTTTCCTCTTTTATACAATGGGGATAATGAACACTTTTGTTTCAAAGACTCCTTGTGAGGGCTAAGTGAAGTAACGTCTATAGGGTACTTGACAGTGGATTAAATAGCAGGTGACTAGTCCCCAAGGGCAAGTGACCTCATGTTCCCCTGCTTATTCACTGCTCTGGAAAACTAAAGAATGTTTTATCAGCAGGGTGTGGTGGTACATTCCTGAGTCCTAGCGCTCTGGGAGGCTGAGGCAGGAGGATCAAAAGTTGTAGCCCAACCTGGGCAATTTAGCTGCTTAGTAAGACCTTGTCTCAGCAAACAAACAAAAATGGCTAAGCCAGGTGTGGTGGCACACACCTGTAGTCCCAGCACTCTAGAGGCTGAGGCAGGAGTATCCCTGAGTTTGACATCAGCCTGCGTTACAGTGTGAGCTCAAGGCCAGCCTAAACTGCATAATGAGACCTGTCTCATTATGAGAAAAAAAGACACACACAAAAATGGCTAGGCATGCAACAGTCCTGGGCTCAGTCCCCAGTACTACAAACAAAAAACACCTCTCAAGTTAGTCAAAGTACTACTGGAAGCCATATAGCATATAAAACGCTTTGTGGAGGAGCCTCCTGGGTGAAAGCTTAACTATGAGCACATCTAATCTGGTATAGGTCATAGGTGTTCTTTGGTCTCCATTGTTAGGCAGCGCTTGGTTCCAGCAGCAGAGTTTGGCTAAAGAACAGGGTGCTGTGTGACATGACTTTTAGCCTTTGCTGAGCACTTGGAACATGGGGGAATGAGGTAACTGCCAGCTGGAGCCATCTGCCATTTATCACTCCTGACTTGGGAAGGAGGTGTTTTCTAGGTAGGAAGTGTCTAGGCAGGATTCCTGGTAGGGATGAGAGGGATGTTGAACTTTGAAGCACAGGAAAGAGCACAATAAAAGATCGCTCATGAAGTCCTGCTCTATCACAGACTCACCTGACTCATGTCTGTCCCAGGTTGAGTGAGCACTTTGGAAGCATGATGAAAGGCAAGAGCATGTGCACAAGCATGAAGGCAGGGAAAAGAGGGGTGTTGGTGGCTGTAGAATTGAGGTCACTCAGACAAGAGAGGGGATCCAAGGAGAACTAATCAGTTGTCCAGGTTGGAGATAGTGGCAGTGACTATTTGGAGTGGGATAGAAAGAGACTAATTAAAAAGACCAAAAAAAAAAAAAAGAAAAAAGAAAAAAAGAAAGAGACTGATTCTAGAGATGTCAAGATGATAGAGATAGAGATTAAAAAAAAAAAAAGATGATAGAGTTGACTACAACTCTACCAGGACTTGGCTGCTAATGGATGCCAAACTGAAAAGTGGATGGCGTCTTCAGAGCTGGCCCTGTTTCTGGTCTTGGGCTGCTGACCTGAGGCTGATCTTTTCCATGAGAGGGGAACCTGAGAGGAAGAGTGTTCACAGATGGAAGCGTGTGATGTTGTGGTGGGCAGCACCCCTGGAGCAGTCCCATTGAGAGGCAGCTGCTTAGGTGTGCTCAGGAAAGAGGTCCAAGCACAGTGGGCCTTGTTGGCAGTAGTTCTTCCTCTGGACTTGGGAGGTGAGATCCATTATTTCATCTGGCTCTCAACAGCTTCAGAACTGGATTACCCCTGTACAACTGAGGTCCTTTCTATCCCAAGGTCTGAGCAGGCCTCTTAATCAGCCCTGTCCAACTGGCAAAAAGTTGAGCCTTGGGCCTCAGGATCGTGTGGGACATGTGGGGAGGTGGGCAGACAGGAGAGCAGCTTGGACCATCGAGCTTCAGCATAAAGTAAAACAAATGAGCTATTTGTTTATTACTGTCATTTATGGGATGATACATTAGGGAGGTGGCGTGGGTTCTGGGCCAGGGGAGGGACAGCATGACCACCTGTTCTGTTCATCACTGACACTTCTCTAACTTCTCCCAGACGTATGCAGAGATGGACCCCACCACAGCAGCCTTGGAGAAGGAACATGAGGCGGTAAGCAGCACTGGGATCTCGACTGGGGAGTTCCTCCCCGTTTCCTGTCTTGCCCCTACTGAGTTGTGCAGGGCTCCTACTCCCACCTTTTCTGTAGATCACCAAGGTGAAGTATGTGGACAAGATCCACATCGGAAACTATGAAATTGATGCCTGGTACTTCTCGCCATTCCCTGAAGACTATGGGAAGCAGCCCAAGCTCTGGCTGTGCGAATACTGCCTCAAGTACATGAAGTATGAGAAGAGCTACCGCTTCCACTTGGTGAGGCTGGCTGGGCAGGGCGGAGTGTGGCATGGAGGCCAGGGGCAGCTGAGCACTAAGCATGTGGCCTAGGGAAGACAGGCAGGTTCAGAGAAGACAATAAAGCACGGAGCCCAAGGGGGAGGCGGGCTAGATTCCTGGTTTTTCTAATGCTGTTGGAGGACCTTGGCTAACTTACTGACTCTTTCTACACCTCAATTTCCTATTTATTTATTTGTTTGTTTGTTTGTTTGTTTTTTTGAGACAGGGTCTCTCTGTGTAGTACAGGCTGGCTTTAGACTCTAGGCAATCTTCCTGCCTCAGCCTTCTGAGTGCTCGGATTACAGGTGTGCGACACTATACCTGAGCACCCCTGCTTTTTTAAAATCTTGAGACAAGTCTTGCTAAGTCTCTAAATTACTCAGGCTGTGCTCAGACTTTGGATCCTCCTGCCTCAGCCACTTAGAGTACTAAGATTACAGGCATGCACAGTAGTGCCGCTGCAGTTTTTTCTGATACGGAATGGGGACAGTAATCTTTTGAGTTCTTTACTGCATGACTAGTAAGACCAGCCCAGTGCTGGGCTCCTCAGTGCAAAGGAGGATACAAGCATAGCCACTGAGTATTGACACTGATGGTGTGAACAGGTGGGAAGGACAGGGCCAGGGTTGTTTACCAGGCAAGAGGCACTCATCAGTAGCACAGTGGGTGTTTCCCCAAAGTGTGGGATCTGAGGTGAATCCATATGGTTTAGGAAAACTAGTGTCATGGATGAAGTCCTTTAGAACCAGGCCAACATAGACTTAAACTCAGGTATTTGCATGATGCTTGAGGAAGTTACTAACCTTTCTGTAACTTGGTTAGGAAATAGGTGAAGAAACCAAGGAAGATTACTTTATATTGGTAAAGCACTGAGCGGAGGGTCTACACACGTGAAAACAGAGAGGCAGGAACTTGCTCCAAGCCACACAGCCTGGGATGGGAAATGCTGAGCGGAAAATTTAGGGTCTCAAGCCTGTGTTCTCTCATCCACACCCCTAGGGCCAGTGTCAGTGGCGGCAGCCCCCAGGGAAGGAAATCTATCGAAAGAGCAACATCTCTGTGTATGAGGTAGACGGCAAAGACCATAAGGTGAATTGGTGGCCCAGGGGAAGTTGGGGGGTGGTGGTAGGAGACTCTCTGGACGCCTCTTGAATGGTCCTCACCCCTACCAGAAGGTAGAGGCCTGGCTCAGGCCTTTGGTTGCTGCATAGTGAACACAGCCCTGAGGAGCCAGCCTAGGGGTGGGTGTCTTTTCAGTCCCTGAGAACTTTACTTCTGACGAGGTTGATCAGGTTGGAATAGGTCTAGAACCCAGAACAGAGATTTTCTTGCCTGAAGCTGCTCTTTTCCCTATTGCATAAAGGTATTTGTTTTTGCTTGGGAGGGAGTTTCCCTGTGTGAGATTTCTGTCCAAGAACTCTAGGGCTAATGTTGGTTGAGTTCCTTCTTCCTGGCTGAATGACTTCAGTGGAACAAAGAGAGGTTCACCAAGAATATTGGTTGCCGTGGGAAGGGCAATATAAGTTAAGATAAGGAGCTCCTGCCTTCAAATTGTCTTGCCATTTCCTGCTTGATTTCAGACAAGGTGTTTGACCTTGTTTTGTTCCTGTTTCCTCATCCATAAGCCAAGAGTCATAATTAGTTACCTAATGGTTTTGGTGGTGGAATAAATGAGACTATTCATAGTGTGTTAAGTGTGTACAACAGGGCCTGACATCTAGCAGGTGCTTAGTAAACACAGCCTTTACTATTATTGGTGACCTGTTGGGGCTCAGTCATATGCTTTAGGGTACCCACTCAGAATCACCCTTGCCTGTTGCTGTGCCTCCCTAAGCATAATTGGGCTCCTATTGGAGATGTGGGGGCCTTTCTACCTCTACCCTCTGCCACCGGCAAGACCCAAGGCAGACATTTCTGCCTAGGAGCTTCCCTTTCCTCCTAAGTCAGTAGGACTAGCAGTGCTGGGCTGACACAGTTACTAGATCAAATAAAAGAGCAGATGGGAAGAGGTTTCACAAAGAAGTGATCTCCTTAGGCTGTGCCATGAAGCCAATTGAAAGGCCCTATTGTCCTTTTAGATGCTGGTGTGTGAGGGCTCTGGCTGTGCTGCTAGGAGACTGGTGAGGTCTAGAGAGCAATAGCTAACTGGGCAGACAGAGTTCAGGCTTCACAGTCAAGCTGGAGGCTCCTCCAGCTGGCTTCATGCTTAGCCTTGCGCCAGTGCTGGGGCTACTATGAGCAACACAGAACTTGCTCCCAGGTGAATTCCTGTCCTGCCATCTAACCAGCCATGGAAACTTTAGCAAGCCATTTACTTCCTCTGAGTCTCAGTTTCCCATTCTGAAACAAGTTAATGTCTCTAAAGATTAAACCAAGACTATGCATGTAAACACCTTACCTGAATTTAGAACTCAAAAGTGTGGTAGCCATGATTGATCCAACTGTGCCATGATCTTGTTGCATGCCAATGGCTCTGATTGTCAGCTTTCTTGTCCATCAGAAATTGACTCTTCAGACTCCTTCCAGGTCTAAATACTGCTATTCTGGTAAGGGTCTCCCTGCCCACTGGCCAAACACTGGCTGCTGTTTGGACCCTGGCACTTGCAGAAAAGCAGGGCGACTGCTCATGGCCAGCTGGGTGGGGCATTGCTCCCTGACTATTTCCACCTCTCCACCCCTCAGATTTATTGTCAGAACCTGTGTCTGCTTGCCAAACTTTTCCTGGATCACAAGACATTATACTTTGACGTGGAACCTTTTGTCTTTTACATCTTGACGGAAGTGGACAGGCAAGGGGCCCACATTGTGGGCTACTTCTCTAAGGTGCTGGGTCAGGGAGCCCAAGCTGGGGGAGGGGGAAGGAGGGGGGTATGAATGAGTAGGGGCTGAGCCTCCCAATGGTTCTGAGCACCTGCACCCTTCAGGAAAAGGAGTCTCCAGATGGAAACAATGTGGCCTGCATCCTCACCCTGCCCCCCTACCAGCGCCGAGGCTATGGGAAGTTTCTCATAGCTTTCAGTGAGTAGTCCCTGTCTAGGAAAGGGGCAGCTGTGGTGGTGGGGTCAGTTTGAGGGTGCAGTGCCAGGGTAGATTGGGATTGCAGAGTCCTCCTTCTGTCACTGCTAGGCTATGAGCTGTCCAAGCTAGAGAGCACAGTAGGCTCCCCTGAGAAGCCACTGTCTGACCTGGGCAAACTCAGCTACCGCAGCTATTGGTCGTGGGTACTGCTGGAGATCCTGCGAGACTTCCGGGGCACACTGTCCATCAAGGACCTGAGGTGAGGTCCACCATCTCCCACCACATCCAGGGCATGCTGTCCAGCCAAGGGTCTTTTGAGGGAGGGATGCTGGGACCTTAATGGAAAGGGGTGTATCTGTATCATCTGCTCTAATCCTTTTCTGCAGTCAGATGACCAGTATCACCCAGAACGACATCATCAGTACTCTACAGTCTCTCAACATGGTCAAGTATTGGAAGGGCCAGCATGTAATCTGCGTCACACCCAAACTTGTAGAGGAACACCTCAAAAGTGCCCAGTATAAGAAGCCACCCATCACAGGTGTGTGTGTGTGGGGGGGCAACTATGTGTGCGATGGGGGGGGGGGGTTAAAGGCTTGCTAGGAGCCAAGCCCGCCTTATTGCTGTCACATGATCCCAGACCAGTCAGACCAGCTCCCAGGATGAAGCCCAGGGCAGGCTACTCATTCCTGGAACTTCCCTGCCCCCACCCCTTCCCCAAGACTCAGGCTGCGCTTTTGTCCTTTCTCACCTAGGCTGGGCCCAGAGAGGAGCTGCCAGGTATGAGCAGGCCTGGCGCAGAGGTGCAGTCTGCCACTCATGTCTCTTTTTCCCACAGTGGACTCTGTCTGCCTCAAGTGGGCACCCCCCAAGCACAAGCAGGTCAAGCTCTCCAAGAAGTGAGCAGCCCGTACCCCTGTTGCTGGACCTGTGCCTCTTTGCTCCTAGCTGTAAATATGTACAGACTTCTTTTGTCACTTTTTTAAATAAAGTAAATTCTGCTGGTGGTGTAGGACTTCAGAGGTGGGAGAGAGAGACCAAGATTTCATATTCTTCATTTCATTTCACACATAGCCAGTTGTGTTCAAAACATTTTACTGCTTGATTTTGTATTCCCCACCCCCATCCAAGCCTCCAGCTGAGTTCCGGTGGGGGCTCAGTCCTCCGGAGTCTGGGAATCAGAAATCAAGAGGGCTTGGTGGCTAATAGGGCAAGATTAAGGCTTTTTCCATCTCTAAGGCAGGCAAGCCCAGAAGACAGGAAGGCCAAGTGATGGGCTCATCAGGCAGGGCAGGTGGCTTAGAGTCAGCCCTTTAGCAGCTGTTGGCCAGGCAGCTGCCTAGTCCTGTAGAAGCAGGTGGGAGCTAGGGCCCATGTTCAGAGTTAAGGGCTCTTGGGAGCTCCACAGGAGCCTAACCAGTAAGCTACAGGCAGTGGCAGAGGTGGCCAGTGGTCCTGACCAGTACCATAGGACGTAAAACTCTTGACCTTGGGTTACCATTTAAAAGAACCCAATCTGGAAGAATGGGCTCAGAGATCAGAATGGTGCCCTGACTCTCCACAGAATCCTAGGAGGAAGGTGCAGCCAAGCAGGGTCCTGGGCCTGAAAGGTATGTCATTGGGTGTGATGTTTTGGTCCTGGAAGTTGGGTCAGTTCCAGAGTGCACAGGTCAGTGCTTGTGTCAAGAGCAGCAGAGGCCTCAGGGTCAGACTCAGTGGCAGCAGCAGGATTGGCCGAAGCACATTGTGACCAGGGCCCGAGTTGAGGGCCAAAGACTTGCTGCAGAGGAAGGCGTCAGGCTGGGACTCCTGGATTTGGGGCACTACGTGAGTCTGGAGTTGGGCTGCTTGGTGTTGAATCCAAGAGGCATAACTGGAAGTCAGAGTATACACACCAGGCCTGTTGGGTGCCCCGCAGGCATCACCCCAGCTCACAATGCCTGTCAGGTACCAGACACCCTCCACAGGGCAGGAGAGTGGGCCCCCCGAGTCACCCTGAGGAGAAAAGCAATACAACAGCTAGGACCCAACTCAGGCCTCTGGTCAGCCCCATCCAGCCTCCACTCCAAGCTGTGTGCTCAGCTCTCCTGGCTCCTGTATTTACCTGGCAGGCATCCTTGCCACCTGTCACGTAGCCAGCACACACCATGTCCTGCTGGATGGTGTGAGGCTCCTCGGGATTGGAGTCGATGTTGTACAGGCAGTTACACGTCTCACGACTGATCAGTGGCACCTCAAGTTGCTGTAATGTCTTAGGGGCCGAGAGGCTCACTGCAGGGACAAAAGGTGCTTACCAAAGGCCTCTTACCCTGGGTCAGGCTCCCCTCCATGGTGCTGAGCTTCCAGTGCCCTCTCACCTGAGGGGGCCACGTGGCCCCAGCCAGTGACAGTACATTTGAGGCCATTGGGGAAGGAGGCATTGGCTGCAGGGAGGCAGATGGGCCTGATGTAGCGGGTAAAACTGATGGGTCTTTGGAGGCGGACTAGTGCAATGTCACCCTCGGAGCCCTCAGCTTGGTAGGTGGGGTAGGTGATGATTTCAGCCACTGTGCGGACCTCATTGTCTTCGGTGTAGGAGTTCAGCTGGTGGGCGCCCAGCCTCACCTCATAGTCTTTTATGTTGTGTTCACTACAGACAGAGGAGTAAAGGCTGGGACTCAGGAGACTTGTCCTTGTTCTCTGTTCCCTGCTGCCTCATGGCATACTGATCCTAGACTGCACCTTTAAGGCCTAGTTCTGTTTTGTGTTTGGTTTTTTGAAATGGTCTCACTATGTAGTTCAAGCTAGCTTTGGTAATCCTGCCTCAGCCTCCCAGTTCTGGGATAATAGGTGTGTATTCCTGGCTGGGCTCAAGGCTTAGTTTTATCCTGTGATGTCCCCTCTAACCCTTCACCTTTACTACTCAGTAGTAGCCCTTTCAGACTTAATTTTTTTTTTTTTTTTTGGTGATACTGGGATTGAACCCAGGGCCTTTGCACTGAGCTACATCACCAGCTGTGCTTTTTTATTTTTGTTCTGAGTCAGGGTCTTACTAAGTTGCCCAAGGCTAGGCTGGAATTTGTGATCCTTCTGCCTTGGCCTCTGAGTTCTAGCATTGCAGATGTGTGTTATCACACTCTACTTACTTTGCTGATCTCTGAAAACCAAACCTTAACCCCCAACCTCTGACTTGGGATTTATCTATAAACTTTGACCTCCAGCCTACTTTTGACTCCCTCCCCGATCCTCACCCAGCTTGTACCTAGGGAAACAGTGTGCAGCCGACAGCACCCACTCCTCAGACACGAGAGACCCACCACACACGTGGTCGTTATTGTAGATGATGCTGACCTGCCAGGGCCACTGCCCAGGCGTTGAATCGTTGCCACCTGTGATGCGGGCTTGGAGGACTACACCGCAGAGAGCTGCCCAGGGAGGAAGAGAAAGGGGTCAGGTTCTTAAGGGCTCCCACTCTAACCAGGTCCTTAGTCTTGCCATCTTGCCAAATGCCAGGAGACCAGATTTACAGCCAGGGAAGTGAGTTCACAGCCCGCCCTTTGTCCCCATTCCTGGCTCACTGGGCATGGACATCTCTGCCCCTTGCTGTCCACTACTCATTACCTAAGTCTCATGACAGCCTACTTCCTGCCTTGCATCCAGTTGCCTGGATAAACCTTCCTTGGCTCCACACCGACCGTAAAACATATTCCAGATTCTCATGGGTAGACCTACTCCAGTCACTCTTTTTGGTGGATATTTCTAATCAAACATTGTGTACTTGTTCATCTCTGGTCCTTTGCTCTGTGCATGGGGGATTAGAGCCTGGTCACTGTGGGCAGGAGGGCTGGTGCTGGCACAGTTTGGCTGTGGAGAATGTTAGAGAACAGCCCCTCTGAAGCCTGTGCTGGCCCTGCTGTCTTAGCCGCGGGCATGGCTGCTGGATGCCTAGGACCCCACTTTCTCTGATACTACCAAGGCTCACAACTGTTCTTTTGTCTATGACTATGTTTCAACCACATCAACCTGGGTGTTCACCCAGGACATCCTCGGGTCCCCAGCACCCTGCACAGAATAAAGCAGTGGATTAGCCCCTACCCTTCCCCCATGAGGCCACAGTGGGGAGTGCTTCCCTTTACCAGGTCACCTTATGCCAGACTCCTCCTCCATTCCTCACATTTGCGACAATAGCTACTATTTAGTGAGAGTTCCAGCAGGACAGACCAGCAGGGGCTTTCACTTCCTTTACCTTCTAGAATTCTGCCCCAGGAGATGGACAAAATCAACTGCATGTTAGAGTTGAAGAGAGGAGACTTGGGAAGGTGAGGAGTGTGGCCTGTAAATGGTGACCCAGAGCCCTCGGGTGTGCCTCAAAGTGTGTGCTTCCAACAGAGAAACTCTGAGCTTATTTCTCTCAAAGTGACCCCAGGCACTGCACTTTGGGAGGCTGTAGGAAGTTCACCACACACACATCACAGAGGAGGGGCAGAGCCCAAAGAAAGGGAAGCTGAGCGCTAGGGAGACCAGATCTTTTTTCCCTGATGCTGGGGATTGAACCCAAAGAAAGCTGAGCTACACTTCTACTTCTTTTTTATTTTGAGATAGGGTCTCCTCAGTGGTCTAAATTGGCCTCAAACTTGCAATCCTCCTGCCCTTATACTCACGATAAGGATATGCCCTGGAAGATTATGTATGCACCTTCTAGTGTGTGGCCCTCCCCCAAATTTCCCACCCTGTTCATAGGTACTTACCCATTCCCAACCGGATTAGTCCAAGGAAGAGTAAAATGGCCACAGCTTGCAGCTGCCCAGGCCCCAGGCCCCGCCTGTGGGCCATGGCCCAGGACAACAGCCACTGGGGGAGACCAGGCTCAAAAGGAAAGGATTGGTCTTAGGTCTGGTTTTGAAGGCAGGATCCAGGTGTTGCTCAGAGGTAAGGAATCCCAGAATTGTTGCCAGTAAGGTAGAGCAGGTGTCCAAGGCTGGCTTCTGAGGTAAGAGCACCGTGGGAGACGACAAGTTTCTGCAGCTACCAGTGTGGCCAGCCGCGTTCCCAGGAAGAGTGGTGGCTGCTCGCAGGAGGGCACTCACCTGTCGGCTCCTCCCTCTGCCCCACCCTCCTGGCTCTTCAGTCTTTTCTAGCCTCCTGAGTCTGGAGTCCTTTCGGATTCTGGGGGAAGTGGGGCGGAGACTGGCTAGCTGGAGAGCAGCAGCCCCAGGCAGTCTGGAAACCCCACGTGGCCGGCCAACTGTCTCCAGGTATTTCAGGTCTCCCAGACCAGTTATGCCTGCCAGGGGCTGGCCTGGCCTTTGTTGTCTTGGGGCCGCTGCTCTTCCGTCCCTCCCTCCCTCCGTCCTTATGCCAGGTAGCTGAGCCCAGGACACTGGGGCCTGCCTAGGCCAGTGCCATTTCAAGCCTTTCTGTGAAGGCTGCAGCTTCCACCACAGGTGCTGAGCATGTCTGGCAGTGCCCAGTATTTACCGAGTGCCTACTGTATTGCAGGACTCAGGTATGGAATAGATTCCATCCATGACTCCCTTGAGTAGGGATGACAGATTTGAATCACAAGATCACAGCTGCTAGTGTGGTAGTGCATGCCTGCAATTCCAACACTTGGGAGATCTAGACAAGAGGATTGACTTAGAGTCTGAGGCCAGCTGGGCTACATAGTGAGTTCAAGGGTAATCTACATAGTGAAAGCCTGCCTCAAAACATAAAGAAAAAAATCACAGTCAATTATAGAATTATTTCAAACTAGGAATCGATGGACAAGAGGGAGGACTCTGGTACATGTGCCTAGAAGCTGGAGAGGCCCTCTAGGAAGTGCCTCAAGGACTGAGACAATTTTTGTGGTACCAGGGACTGAACTCAGCTTTCATTCACACTGAGCTATATCCCTGGTCCTTTTTTAATCTTTTATTTTGAGACAGGTATTGCTAAGTCACTGAGTTGTCTGGGCTGGGCTGACTTGCCATCCTCTTGCCTCATTGTCCAAGAGTGCTGGGATCACAGGCACACACTTTAAAGGGGTTATGAAGTGTTAAAGCAGAGATTGGAACAGCCTTGGGTGGAGGGAGAAAAGGCCTTTCCACTTGGTGAGGGTCTGATGTATGCTCTGCAAGTGTGGATCTGTGACACTTGGAACATGTGTTGGGTTTAAGCTTGAGGGAAAACAGACCCTCGAGCCTCTCTCTCTTTCTAGAAGACCAGGAATCTGGACCTCTGAGCCAGGACTTCAAGCCCAGACTGGAGGTCAGGGGATCCTAGCATGGGTCAGTGGAAGGGGTTGGCTCAAGAAAGGGTCTAAAATGGGAGGAGGGGACAAGATTCTGGGAGTTGTGGGTGGGTGTGGGTAGAAGGTGGGCAGGTCCTGTGTCTGTAGGGATGGCTGCCTGCATATGGATTGCTTCCTTGTGGAGGATTTGGAAATATTCTATGTGTAAACAGCAGCTACGGATAAGGCCGGCCCTTCAACAATCTCTGTCCTTTTCCTTGCCCCAGTGTGATCTTGTTTCTCTCCTGGCTGCCTCCTCACTGATCACCTGCCTAACCCAGAAGCAGCTCCTGGGCCATGGCCACTAACAGCAGCTGTCTTCTGCCCTTGTTTCAGGGCCCCATTTGCCCTTTTCTTGTGCTCAGACCTCACCTCCTCTATGACCCTTTCCCAGTCCCTAGCCAGGGTACTGGTGTTTCCCACTAGTCAGAGGCACTTGTCATTTCAAGGAGACAGCGACTGCACCATGCCTTGATGTGCTAATGCAGGGCAGCTGCACAGGTCAGTGATGGGGAAGGCAGTGGGTTATACAGGGAGAGCGCCAAATCCTGGAGGTAGTGGACGAGATGTACAAGTGGCAGCCACTGAAAGGGTGCGAGGGGCCTTATGCATCCTGGGGACTCTGGGGGTGAACTTTGGGGAAGCATTCATGGGATATGTTATTCCTGCTCTAGTGGGAAGGGCAGCAGGGTGTGAGCTAGGGCTGAAATATGCGGCAGGTGTGAGGACATCAAGTCCACTGGGCAGGTGACACAGAGCCAGCTGGCCTTTACCTCTCTGCCCTAGGGCAGGAATGAGAGAACAGAGCTGCCACATTAGCCAGGACACATTTCCTGGGAGCCCAAGGCCTGACTCACAGTGACCCTAGAGGGAGGGGCCCTACTTCTTGAGCTTCCCACCTAGCTTCGAGCTCTCAGCACCTTAGCCTGCACCCAGTGATGCCACAAGGTCACAAGTCTGTGTTCATACCTTTATTGTTTGCTCCTCCTCCCACCCTCAAGGATTCCTGGGCCCAAGATAGCCAGCACTGAGGCCCAATCACTGGAAGTTCAGGTGGGTAGGCTGCCCCACAAGCCTGCAGGCAGCTGGTCTAGCCACATTCCTGTCTTGCCGGTGGCAGCAGCAGGGGTGGCAGGGAAGATGTGGCTCTTGGAAGCAGGCTCACCAGCCTTGGATCAGGGGAGTCAATAACAGCAGGAACAGAGCAGCAGCTCCGGGGAAGCCCGAGGCTCCTGCCAGGTCTGGGGGGCACAGGTCACCGCTTTCAGGGAACCAGTAGGGTAAGCCACTAGGGGGTAGGAAGTGGGCCTCCCCCACTGTCTGAGAGATCCAGGTCTCTTCTGGGCTAATGGCTGCAAACAGCTCCTGGCTCCCTCTGACAGCCAGGCCCATGAGGACCCAGGAGCCTCCTTCAGTCTGGCACAAGAGGGGCGGTGCTGAGGTCACCTGCAGAGTTGCAGTGATAGCAAATGGGTGTTACCCTTCCTTCTGTACCAGCCAGGTCCTGCATACAGTGCTGTCTCCTCCAGAGGCAGCCTGAGCACTGATCTCTCCAAGGCCCAGCCAAAGAGTACTGCTTCTTAGGGGCTGGGGATTTAGCTCAGTGACATAAGTGCCTGTCTGACAAACACAGCAAAGTTGTGACTTTGATCCCCTGTACCAAAAAAAAAAAAAAAAAAAAAAAAAAGTACTGCTTCTTTCCACTAGGAGCCCAACCTCCAGGATTTTCAGCCCTGATCTCTGCAGGGTCCAGCTGCCCAGCATTGCTCCTCCCCTCCCTGGACAAGGAAACCCACAACCAAGTGCCTGTACCTCACACCTGTCATCTTGGCCCTCTGCATAGAGGACACAGAGGGTCCCAGGAGGCAGAATGCCCTGATACAGGCAGTGACAGAGTCTTGGTGTCAAGATGGAGACAGGAGCAGCAACAGGAACTAGAGAGAGGGAAGGGAGTTGCCTAGGGTTCTGGTACCCAGTTGCTCCTCATTCCCAGGGCTCAGGGCTCTCACCTCTGTCCTGAGGGTCTTTCCAGCCAAGTACCCAGCAGCTGGCCCCTGGGGGGATACCCCCTGGGTGGAGGCAAATAGGGAGGGCAGATGGGGAGGGCTCCACCCGGAAGCTCAACTCCAGGAGGGCCAGAGGGGGCCTGAGTCCCAAGTGCCGTGGCAGGCGTATACTGATGACCAACCGGGACACCTGGTGGCCCTGTGGGACAGAGCTGGCTCCTGCTCTGCCCAAATAGACTTCAATGTAAGGCACTGTTGCAGAGCCTGGCCTGTAGGAACAAGCACCAGTCACCTCTTGTCCCTGGCCAGGGCAAGTGTAGAATGGGTCTCTAAAGGTCATGCCACTAACTCCTTCACTATTCCTCCTTCCAAATCTTACTGTCTCTAAACACCTCAAACAAAAACCCCCAATCAACCAACAAGAGCATCTCACAGCAGTTTTCTTGTGCTATAGGAGCCTCAAAGAAGAACATGCCTCTCTTGTAAGAGTCCTTCCAATGACCACCTTTCAATTTTCCCCACCGGCCTCTTGCCTAGGAGATGAGTGAGACCCACCTGAGGATACAGTGGGTGGCTGCCAGGATCCAGCCTGGGGCCACTAGGATCCCAGTGCAGACTCGGTCACCAGCCACATGTATCTCTGCCAGCCAGGGCCATAGCACTCCAGTTGGAGCAGCCTCTGGGCGCAGGCCACAGGCTAGGGACAGGAGATAGCTACCTCAGTAGGAATGACACAGGGGCTCTCTGAAGTCCTCCACGGTGCAAGTGCCCCCAGGAACTCCTAAACCTTAAGGGCCTCTGCTCACCACCATGCTCTGTGTGTGGGGGACAAGTCTGTGGTTCCGTGATCTCGCCCTCGGGCCCCCAGTCCCAGGCTAGCTGGTCCTCCAGGTAAGCTCCTCGCGTCACATGGCTGATCCACGGGCCATGGGTCTGCAGTGGGGCAAAGACTCGAGGACGGAGACAGCTGCCAGAGAAGCCTCTGATTCCAGCCAGGAACCAGGTCCCCTTTTCCCGGCACACCAGGGTCCAACCGGAGTTATTCTACAACAGGAGAATGTGTGTGTCACAGGCTGAGCCTGGCCTTTCTTGGACTCCAGATTTTTTGTATGCAGACATACACCCGCCTCATATGTAAGAAGTCAGACCCCACTCCAGGATTTTCCTTCAACCGCTTAGCTCCAGGGCCAGGCGCCGCCCCTCTCAGGCCCTGCCCCTCTCCGCCTGCTGGTCCAGCCCGGATCACTCCCCTACCTCCCAGCGCCGCAGGCCCCGCCCCAGCCCCAGTCTCACCCAGCAGCGGCCCGCTTCCTCCTCCTCTCGGTAGGCGGGGCAGAGCACCAGCGGCGGGTCTCCGGCTAGCGGCACTGGCGCTCCCTGCCGGCCATATAGGCAGTGACACCACCAGCTGCTCAAGAGTTCGGCTTCCAGCTGCGTGCTGGGGCCGGGCGCTGTTTCTGGCGGGGTAGGAGGGAAAGCTGCGAGTCTGCGCAGCGACCAGTGGCTTCCCGCCCCACTCTGCGCCGCACCAGGACCCCGCGCACCTGCGCGACCCCAGCGAGCCAGGCGGCAGCGGCTGCCGGGCAGGAAGTAGTGCTCAGGGTGGGCCAGGCACACGGGCCGCAGGGCCGCGCTCAGGTTCACCGGCGCACGCAGCCGGAGCAGCGCTAGGTCAGCTGCGTCGTCCCGCGAAGCGTTCTCGTGCAGCACTAGGCGCGCCACCCTCTCCGCGTGCGGCTGCGAGGGCAGCAGCACCCGCCAGGCGTCGAGGTCGCTGGGCCCGCTGTCCGAAGTGCCCGAACTGCGGGATGGGGAGGCTGGGAAAGGACCGGGTCCCACATCCCCTGCACACCTCGCCTGGCCTAGACTATACTTGGGCAGGCCGTCATCACACCCAGATTGAGACGCGCCTGCTGTGCCTGCCTCCCAGCCCCTTGTTGGAGCGAATTTGTACCGTCTCCCCACCCGCACCTGCCAGATTAGGACCCCCTCTTTATGTGGTCCAAATAGATTCCCCATTTCACTTCACCGAGGGTTGGCCAGAACGGACTGTGTCTCAGGTCGACTAGGGATGGGTAGAATGGGGCGAGAATCTGCCTGAGAAGTAGGTTCTCACTCACTGCAGAAAGCAGCTGGCAGGTGCCAAGAGCCAGCTTTCAGACACCAGCGACCCATGGCAGGGTCTGAATCCTGGAACCGTCACTTGAACTGCCCAGGGCCAGGCCCCCGGCTGTAGAGCCTTCCCGCACTCTGAAGGGCGAAAGACTGGGTCAAGGCCCCGCGGATCTCCTGTCCCCCAGCTCAAGCTCGGCTCCTGTCTGGGCCCAGTGTGCTCACCTGGCAGGGCGATGGTGCAGTTCTCCTCCCTGGGCTCCCGGGGGCCTAACTGGGGCTCCTGAGTTTGGTTGGGAAAGGCAGGCCCAGGCTCTGAGCCCATCACCCGATCCCGTATCCATGTCTCATAGGGAGCAACAGCAGTGAAGACGCCAGGGCGGTTTCTCCGGCCACAGCCAAAGCCAAAGCTAGTGATTCCCGCCTGGAACCAGCGGCCGCCTTCCTCGCATACGAGAGGTCCTCCAGAGTCACCCTAATGATAGATAATGTATCAAAGATGATCAGCCCAAGGATCCACGGGCTTATATTGGCCACACGGCGAAAGTTCCACCTTTCTTTCTTTCTTTCTTTTTGAGACAGGGTTTCGGTATGTAGTTCAGGCTGGCCTCAAACTCATAGCACTGGGTAAGCCTCCCAAGTGCTGAGACCATTTAATTTGATCTTTACCACTGCACACAAGGGAGTTTTAAAAATATGTCATTGATTGGAAAGAAACTTGTGTGGAAAAAAAAAAAAAAAAACAAAAAACGTCATTGAGCCCGGGGTTTAGCTCAGTGTTGCAAGTGCCTGCCTGGCAAACGCAAGGTTGTGAGTTCAATCCCCAGTACCAAAAAAAAAAAAAAAAAAAAAAAAAAAAAAAAAAGAAAAAGAAAAAAAACAAAAAGTGTCATTTGAGGAAGGTTTCTGGAAAAATGGTTAAAATGTGGTACTTGGGTGTTTTTTTTTAAATTTTTAATTTTATTTTTTAGATATAGTCTCACTTTATAGTGCAGGCTGGTTTTGAACTCACTGTGTAGCCCAGGATGGCTTCAAACTCATGGCAATCCCCCTGCCTCAGCTTCTCCAGCACTGGAATTACAGGTGTACACCACTGCATCCAGCTATAAATGTAGTATCTGTGACCTTTTGGTTATGCAGGAAATTACCTGTTGTGAAGGATTAATTTTTTTCCCAATACTATTTACTAAGCACCTATTAAGTTACAAGTGCTATGTTATGGCCTGGTGTTATGGTTTAGGTTTAAAATGCCCCCCTCCAAGTTCTCACGTGTATGGAAGATAACTGACTCATGGAGTCCTGTACTCATCAGTGGATTCACTCATAATGAGTTCATGGCTGAATGTCATGTTAGGAGGTGAGGCTTGATAGGAGGCAGTCACTGGGGGTGTGATCTGGATTGATATATGCCTGTCCCCAGTTCTTCCTGGGCTCACTGCTTCCTGGCTGCCTTGAGTTGAGGATCTTGCCATCTGCTGTGTCCCTGTGCCACGTTCTTTCTGCCTTGGAGCCAGTCAACCATGAATTGAAAATGAACCAAAATAAATCTCCTCCTTTAAGTTTAGGATGTTAGGTATTTTGTTCCAGCCACTGGAAAAGTGACTAAGACACAGGAAGTTTAAGCCAGCTTGGCCAAAGTCACAAAACTAATTAATGGTACTTGTAGACTTTTAATTAGGCCAACTTATGCAACAGTTCTTCATTGGATTATGTTGCCATAAATAACAATGCCCATTTCTTGACCCAACCTTCCATTTTTAAAGGTGTTTTTTGTTTGTCTGTTTGAAAGTCTCACTATAAGATTCAGGCTGGCCTTGAACTCATGATGATCCTCCTGCCTCAGGCTTCTGAGTGCTGGAATTACAGGCAGGCACCACTATGTCTGGCTCCCAGCTTCTATTTATCCAAAAATTTTTGTGTCAATTTCACCCATTGGCAATCTTTTTTTTCTTTTCTTTTTCTTTTTCTTTTCTTTTTTTTTTTTTTTTTTTTTTATCAGTACCGGGGACTGAACTCATGACTGCCTGCTTTACAAGCCAGGCGCTTATGCTGCTGAGCTAAATCTCCAGCCCCCTGGCAATCTTTTTTTTAAAAATAAATTATTTTTGTGATCCTAGGGAATGAACTTAGCTTTTGCACTGAACTTCATCCCTTGTCATTAAAAAAATTATTCCATCCTCCTATCTCAGTCTTCCAGACTATTGTGCCTCCATGCATGGCTACTTGTTTTTCTTTTGTTTTATTATTATTACTATTAATTTTGGTTACACTTGGGATTGTGCTAAGGGCTATATGCATGATAGGCATGTGCTATACCAGTGAGCTACACCCCAAGTCCCAATTCCTTTGGCAATCTTGCCCTCTTTTTTGCAAGTGAGGCTTAGAGAGCTATCTATTTGTTAGCTGCTTCCTATGACTTAGGGATCTGTCCTTGCCATGTGCTTGTAGATAAGGGACGTCTCCTCACCTGGCAGGTGTCCCTGCGTCCCTCTGGGTAGCCAGCACACAGCATCCCTGGCAGTAGCTGGAAAGTGAGGTTGAAGGGGCCAGGTCGGCTATAGAGACACTGACAGGTGGCCTCTCCCAGCAACCGAAGCTCCACTTCCTGCAGCACCCAGGGGGGAGGCAGAGGGTCTGGCAGCAGAACCAGAGAGCAGATACCGTGAGGCAGAGATGGAGCACCCAATCCCCCAGGGCTCAGATTTGTCTATCTGCTGCCTCCTCAACATGGCCATTAAGATGCCTCAGTGTAAAACTAGGTGGGAGATGAAAAAGAGGTATGATGATATTTTAGACAGCTAAGTTATACAGAAATCTTATGAGCAGTCAGATGGGCTGGGCCCTTGGGAGAGTCAGTGTAGAGGATGAGAACACATTACACCTGTGGCTGGGAGTGAACATTCTAAAGGCCAGGCTGCAAGATAAAATGGAGTGGGCTGGGGATACAGTTCAGCGTCACAAGTGCCTGCCTGAAAAGTGCAAGGTCCTGAATTCGATTCTTGATACCAAAAAAAAAAAAAAAAAAAAAAAAAAGAATGATCAGGCCTACATGCCTCCCTGAGGGATAAGCAATACACTGAGATTATACTATAATTGGTATCCTCTGGCCCAATAAAGTCAAGGTAGACATTAGTTACCCATTAGGTGACCAGAACCTCCAGACCCATCCCTTGCCAGGAATTCCTCTGTTCTCTCCATGTGCCCTTACTGAATGACCAGCTTCCCTACTGGATCAATATTAGCTAAGTAGCCATACTTGTAATCTTATTGGTTGAGCAGTTTGACTGACATTGTATCCACCTGGTGATTCTGCTCTGTAAAACATTCTCAGAGAAGTGGCCTTTGTGGCAACCCATTTTCAGGTCCCCTCCGCCTTTCAGGAGCTGTATCTCTTAATAAAAAAAGTCTACTCTTACCCTGTGTTTTTGCTTAGAATGCGTTCTTTAATTTTGGGAGTGGAAACATGATGAACTCAGAGTATCTGACATCTAGCAGGTTGGGAGCTACGTTTTTCCCTACATTATTGGGAGAGAGTGTGATTGAAGTATATTATGTGCATGTGCAAGTCTGCCAAAAGGAAATCCATTAATCTCTGTAGCCAAGCTGTAATAAAAAATAGTGGGCAAAGACAGGGCTCTGGGTACTTTGGCATACACATTCATCAGCTCTCCTCTCACTTCCATCTGTCATCTTCTGTCTCCCCATCTCAGGCCTCAATAAGTATACAAAGAGAGCCACAGGAATGGCATGTAATGCGCAAAGCTACTGTCCAACAAAGAATGTGTGGGAACTAAAATCACTGATCTCTGAGCCCTGGTGTGGAGTTGTGGTGATCCAGAGAGGACATTCTTTCCACAAAAATGCCATGTGGACTACTTGTGGTCTTGTACTGAGTTACTAAGCATCTGTGATCTTTGTTTGCTTTTAGTTTCTTGAGACAGAGCTTTGCTTTGTAGTTTAGGCTGGCCTGAAACTCCTAGCAATCCTCCTGCCTCAAGGTCCCCCCCGCCCCCCGGATTACAGCCACCATGCCTGGCTATATGATCCTTTTTTGTTTTTTTTTTTTTGTCTTTTTATTGATACCAGGGATTGAACTCACGACTGCCTGCTTGCAAGGCAGGCGCTTATGCCGCTGAGCTAAATCCCCAACCCCTATACATGACCCTTTTCTTAACTTCCCTTCCCCAGCCAGCTCCCAAGTCAACTGTGACCTAACATTCTTTCCACAGCTGCCCGATTAGGCACTGTAATCTTGCTGCCACTGCCAAAGGGATGTTTCTGTAGCTCAGCTCCGATCTTTTTTTTTGTTTATTATTATTTATTTTTTATTTTTTCCTCCCACGAGTCCAACTGGATCAGCTCTGATCTTACCAAGAATAATAAATCGATCCATAGTCTAAAGTGGAGCCTCAACATTACCCTGCTTTTGATGGAAACAAAGTCTCAGGACTCAGAAAGGGCTGGGAAAGGCATGGATACTGCCCCTTCTCCACCCCCAAGAATCCTGAGAGGGCAGGTGATGGCTGAGTCTGTACTGGAGGGCTCAACTAGGAGAGTTTGGACAGTGTCCTGGGGACTCCTGGGGCTCTGTGCCTCTAGTCCACCTTAAGGCCTTTGTGGTCTGGCCTCAGTGGCTTTGGCAACCTCCCTTGCCTCTGCCCTCTTCACTCAACCTGACTTTTTTTTTTTTTTTTTTTTTTTTTTTAGCCCATTTCCAGGGCCCCAGGATGGCTCCTGCCTTCCTGTGCCTTGCTTTGGTACAAAACCAAACCTCAGAAATCTGCTCTGCCAGCCCACTGACAGTATTGCCTGGCCCTGTCCACTTATCCCTCCCAGGTGCCCATGAGGCCTCTTCCTTGTCAACCCTCCCACCTCCACTTCTGGGCTCCTTCCTGCAGAGACTCCCTCCCCCCACCCTGGCAAGGTCTGATCAGAGGGAAAGTGGAATGTTGATGGGGAGGGGTGGCAGGGAAAGGCAGTACTGAGTGAGAAGAACGGAAAAGTGCTTGGTTTTGCCGACATCTTCAAAAGACTTATTGAGTTACCTGCTTGTCTACCTAATAGACCGTGAGCTCTGAAGGCAGAGTTTCTGCTTTTTACATTTGCAGGTTTATCTCTGAGACCTAACACTGTGCCTGGCACATAAAGATACCTTAAAAGAATGACAGAATTGATAGGCGTGGTGGCGCACACCTGTAATCCCAGCACTCAGGAGGTTGAGGCAGGAGCATTGTTGCAAGTTTGAGACCAGCCAGGGCTACAAAGAGAGCTCAAGGCCAGCCTGAATTGCACAGTGAGACCCTGAAAAAGGAGGAGGAGGAGGAACAGGAGGAGGAGGAGGTAGAGGAGGAGGAGGAGGAGGAGGAGGAGGAGGAGGAGGAAAAGAGGAGGAGGAGGAAGAGGAGGAGGAGGAGGAGGAGAATGGACAAGGGGAAACTGGAGAAGATAGGAGGTGAGGAGCAAGGTGATAAGAGAGCTGGACAGGATGGGAGAAGGGGATCGGGAGCAAAGGAGGCTGGAAATATTTACTGAATGCTTATTATCTCTCAGGTGCTATGCCTTAGTGCTATAACATGAATTACTTAAGGTCAAAATATCAGCATTAAGTATGGTGATGCTAGCCACTGTGTGACACTACAAGCTGTAGATGGATTTTTCTCATTTAACCTACTCAACGGTCTTATATTAAATTATTTAATTTGAGACATGTTCTCATTATGTACTCTAGACTGGCCTCGAACTCGAGGCCATATTCCTGCCTCAGCCTCCCAGTGCTGGGACTAGAGATGTGTGCCATCACGCCTCGCTGACCTGGTTTTACAGAGGAGGAAATGTACTGGATGAAATTCTTGGTCTGAAATAGCAGAGCTAGGATGGAAGTGTAGTACGATCTCAACTCAGAAAAGAAAAAAAGAGGAAAGGTGAGGCGAGAATGGGGTGTGTGTGGGCCATTCAGCTGTGTTAGAGGCCCCAGGCCCGGAAGACAGATAAGATTAGGATCGGTGTGGAATTTTCCAGCGGTCCAGCAGGAAAATTCCTAACGTAAGGCACCGAACCGCCCCTCGCTTCAGACCGTGAGGCCGGCGGGAGCTCCGCCCACTCACCCGCCTCCTGGACGTCCCCCCAGCCCGTGGCCCAGCAGGCCGTGCCGGGAGCGAAGCGGTGCGTGGCGCGGGGCAGGCAGACAGGTCGCACTGCGGGGCCCAGCCTGGCGGGTGAGGCCAGGCGCAGCAGGGCCAAGTCGGCGCCCAGTTCCACGCTGCTGTAGTTCTCGGGCACCAGGATGGCCGCCACTGCGCGAAGGTGCGCGCTGTCCGAGGGCCCGTCCTGGGAGTGCATGCCCAGCAGCACCGACCACTCGGCTGCGGGCTCCAGGGTCCCGTTCCTGCGTCGAGGCCGGGGCGTACCGGGTTGGGTTGGCCGGTGCTGGCCGCCGACCCTCGAGGTTGGAGCCAGAGCGGGAGTAGGGTCCCAAGGAGCTTAGGGGCGAAGGAGCTTGGGGCCCACCCGATTTGGAGGTGGGATGGGGCAGTTGGGAGGAGATGGACCGGGGATGTGTGGCCTTTGCTGAGATGTGGGATAAGTCGCCGGAGGATCTGGCCTGGACACTAGGACATCCGGAGACGGCTGGGTTCCAAACTAGCTTTGAGGAAGGAGCAGGGGACTAGGGGCCAGTTGGCATCTGAGGGACAGAGGCTGGCCGGGCACATACTCACGTCACGAAACAGTGAGCAGCAGAGAGGACCCAGGAGGGGGCGATGAGGGAGCCCCCGCAAACGTGGCCCCCGCCTTGGTGCAGGCTCACCTGCCACGGCCAGGAGCGGGGCTGTGCGTCGGAGCCTCCCAGAATGCGAGCAGAGGGCTCAGGGCGCCCACAGTCTGCAGTGGGGAATCCTGGGAGTCAGAGCCTACTTGTGGTACCCCATAATAGAGGCCCCGGTAACTCAGGACCAGGCACAGTCTTCCATCTGGCTTCAGTAGTGAGGCTTGTCTGAGTCGTGGGCACTGCCACCTCCCTCTGGCCCAGGCAGGCCACATTCTTACCCAGTTCTTCAGGGGCCTCTTGGGTAAGACTGAGAGCTAACAACCAGAGGGTAGCAGGAGGAAGATGCTGGTGACTTCTGACCTTCCCAACACCCAGTCCCTCCTCCCACCCCCCAGCCAGCACCCAGGCCACCCCGCGGCACATGACCTTCCCTCAGCTCAGTGACCTTACCTGAGTCCGGGAAGGCTCCTGGGGTGGGACACATGGCTGGAAGACAGAGGGAGGCAGGACGAGGCTGGTGAGGGCTCTTGCTCTCGGATAAGGTTTTCCCTGATTCCCTCCACCCAGCTCCGGGGCACCTAGACCTTCTTCCCTCTCCTAGGACATCTGGTCTTCTTCCTCTTGATGCCTCCTCTCCTGATGCCCCCTGCTCTTCCTCCTCTGATACCCCTTTGCTCGCCCTTTCCTCAATCTCACTTCCTACACAGAACCCAGTAATCCTGCTTTCTGGCTCCTGCTGTGCCAGCGCAAGGGCCCCTTACAGTCATCTGTCCCCTGAGGTTACCGAGCATCACAAGGGGGAGGAACAGGTGCTGGGACATGGCAGGCTGGGGTCAGGAAAGCCACGGAGATGGTCGAAGGTTGGCCTGCCACAGCTATGTCAGTGTCTCAGCAGCTTGTGACTCCTTATGGCCCCAGGAGCAGCCCCACCCTCCCTGGCTGGAGCCCATCTAGAATTTGAGAGGATCTGGGACTAGAAGGGGGAAATAGGGAGCCCCAAGGCCTCACCTGAGCCCTGGGTGCATCTCACATCTCTAGAGGCCCTCGGTAGGGTTGGGGGAGGAGTCTGAGCTCCAGGACTGAGGTGGAGAACCGTGAGCAAAGGCCAAGGACAAGAAGGGCAGACACGGAGCCAGTGTCCCGAGCTAGGTAGAGCAGGGCTGGGGGAACAGTGACCTTCTGGATAAGGTAGATGGTCCTCACTGGCAAGGCTCACCTGGGACCCCACCTCTATTTGAGGTGTGGCTGCCCCCATGGCTTGTTTTTTTTCTTCTCACACAGGTCTGGTTACTGGAGTTGCTGGCCAGGCCCAGACTAGAGCTCTAGGGAATTCAATCCCATCCCAACAAAAGGATCACAGATTCTGGCAGGTTGGGCAAGGATAGGGGTTGTGGAGGGGGTGGCACAGGCTGGCAAGGCTGAAAAGGCCTATCTTTCTCTGTGTTGGAGTGGGTACTCTTAGGTGCTCTGTCACTTGCTCTTGTATGACCTTGGGAAAGGCACTCAACCTTTCAGTATACTGCAAGGTTTTTTTTGTTTTGTTTTTGTCGTGTTTTTGAGACAGGATGTAACTATGCATCTTAAGGATGGCCTTGACCTCATTTCGTAGCCCAGGCTGCTCTTGAATTTGCAACTATCTTCCTGCCTCAGCCTCCCAAGTGCTGGGATTACAGGCATGTGCCACCATGCCCAGCTTCGGTGTACTGTGTATCATTTAGAGCCCATTTAAAAGTGGTACACATCTGTAATCCTAACTCTCTGGGAGACTGAGGCAGGAGGATTGAAAGCTTAAACCCAGCCTGGGCAATTTAACAATTTAGGGAGAACTTGTCTCAAAAAGAAAACAATTGTAAAAAGGTTGTAGCTCAGAGTGAAAACTCTGGGTTCAATCCCAGTACAGAGAAAGAGAGACAGACAGGCTTGAAGTCTTCTTTTAGGGACCTCCTTGGACCCCATCCAGGGGTTGTCTCATGGTGGATGGTAAGAGGACAAAAGAACAAGGAGGGTTAGAAGCCTCAAGCCCTTTTGTAACAACATTGGCTCATTCACGAGAGTGCCCTACCTCTCAAAGCTTCCATCTCACCCACTGTCTTTTTTATTTTTATTTTTTCCTCAGACAGGCTCCACTGTGTTACCTGGGATGAACCTGAACTCATGGGCTCGAGTGAGTGGGACTGCCACATCTCACTGCTGGTGCATTGGGAATTAAGTTTCCAGTGCATGATGTTTAGGGTATGCAATCAAACCAGAGCAGAGCCCATGCTGTAGTCCATAAAAATTACTCTCTGCGGGGAACGTATCAGGCTGGAAAGGGTAGAGAGTGGAAATATTCACACACTTATATCTGTGCTTTGTTTTATTTTTTTGTCCTGGAGATTAAACCCAGGGCCTTCATACTGTCTATATCTCAGCCTGCCCTTTTCTTTCTTTCTTTCTTTCTTTCTTTCTTTCTTTCTTTCTTTCTTGCTTGCTTGCTTGCTTGTTTTCTTTCTTTCTCTCTTTCTTTCTTTCTTTTTGAACAAGACTCGCACTAAATTAGTAAATTTCCCAGGATGGGTTTGAACTTGTGATCCTGCTGTTTTAGCCTCTCAGAGTGCTAAGGTTACAGGCCTAGTATCGTCATGCCATGCTGAGATAATGAGGTGAGTTGTTTTCTTTTGTTTGAGCCAATGCCTCTTTGTAGTTCAGGTCTTTGAACTCACTACACAGCTCAAGCTGGTCTTGAGCTCACAGTGCTCCTCAGCCTCCTAAGTGCTGGGATTAAAGGTATGTGGCATTAAGGCCAGCTTTTTTTTTTTTTTTTTTTTTTTTTTTGCGGTACTGGGGATTGAACTCATGACCGCCTGCTTGCAAGGCAGGTGCTTATGCCGCTGAGCTAAATCCGCAGCCCCTAAGGCCGGCTTTTGAGAAAATGATTCTTGATCTTCTCCCCAACCCAGTAGATTTGCAGACTAGGACTTGCTCTTCTACATAGTACAGTGGCTTCCCAAACCTGGATCTGGTGGGTAGGAGAATGGTTTCCTCCAGAGAGACAGATTGGGATTTTTCGAGTGTACACATGCAATCTGCAAAGCTGCCCTGGTGATGCTGATAGTTCTGCTACACCAAGGTGCCTTTGCTTGAAAGTTGCTGCTCTGAACTTCCTAGCAGCTAGTGCGGAGAGGGTGAGGCCAGGGAGAGTTGGCATCCAGTTGTACTGTACTGTTGGTGGCTGGCACCAGGATGGTGGTCACTGAGCATATGTACAAGGTACAAGGACCAGTTCCTCATGTGGATTCTCATAGAGAGGATACTCTGGTGTAATCCAGTTTCTCCCAATGACATCATTATGGTAAAAGCAGCAAAGTTTCATAAGGTTGATTTTCATGTTTCTGCTTAATGTCAGCCAATGCTACCACAGTCAACCCACAAGTCAATAGAATAATTATATGAGGGGCTGCCTCCACCTAAGAAAGGTAAACATACACAGTTATCCACTGGTTTGATTAGCAGAAGGGGAAATTACAGACCAGCTAATGCATGTGTTCTCTAATGCTGGTGTCACAAATTGCCTTGTATAAATCCAGGTGCTGATGGTACTTCAGTCCTTCCTGGAGGCTGAGGGGAGAATTAGTTTTGGCCTTTTGCAGTTTCCAGAAGCCGCTTTTATTCTTTGGCTCTTTGTCCCCTTTCTCCATTGTCATTTCCAGCACTGCCACTTCTTTCCAACCCTTTTGTTTTCACATTTTTCTCTCTAACCAAAATCAGGAATGGTGCTTTGCTTTTAGGGTTCCTGGGCTTAGCCTGGGTCCACCTGGGTAGCCCACCTGGGTAACCTACCTGTGTCAGGGCCCCTCCCTTCAGTCCGTCTGCAAAATGCCTGCCGTGTGAGGCCAAATGTTCCCCAGTTCTGGGGTTTAGTATATGAACATCTTTCAGGCCATTATTCTGCCTACCATAGTCAGACGTGGTGATGACTGTGTCTCCTGTCTTCCCAATGTGTTAAATGTGAGTTAAATTATAGGAAATGCTCCATATTCAGATGGGGAAATTGAGGCTCATGAACATGGTGATATGACATTCCTTATTCTTTTGACCCAGACAGTTTTGTTGAGCCTGGTATCACTGTGCACATCCAGAGTCCCCATCCCTTTTGTGGCCGGTTTTCAGATCTCCATGAGCACCGTGCTTCCTAAAGTCCATAGCACGCATGTGCCAGGGCCTGGCTTGCTATAGACAGAAGAGCTCTTCTTTTTGTCATCTTTGTAGGAGCCATTCTGCCAGGCCCCAGATCTTTTTTTAAATGTAATTTTAAACTGTTGTTTTAAAGAAATCTTACTTAAGAAGCTCTAAGGGTCTGAAATGTGCCTCAGTGGAAGCATCTTTGCTTGGGTTTCCAAATTCCTGGGTTTGATGCCACCATCATAGAAAAAAAAATTGAAACAAAACAAAAGGGCTGGGCATGTGGCACTTGTAATCTCAGTACTGTGGGAGGCTGAGGAAGGATCTCAAATTTGAGCCTAGCCTGGGCAACTTAGTGAGACGCTGTCTCAAAATTAAAAAAAAAAATTCTGGGGTTACAGCTCAGTGCAAAAATTCTGGGTTGAATTCATAGTACCACACAAAAGATAGTGGGTATGGTTGTAAATGCCTGTAATCCCAGCATTTAGGAGGCTGATACAGGAGGACTGCCAGGAGTTCAAGGCCAAGAGGGACACAAAAAGAGGGTGGAGTGGGGGAATGGAGAGAAAAGAAAGGGAGGAAAGAGAAGGAAAGAAAGAGGGCTGGTGGGGTGTAGTTTGGTAGCAGAACAGTTATCTAGCATATATGAGGCCCTAGGTTCAATTCTTAGAACTGGAGGAAAAAAAAAAAAGAGTGACCCACCTTTTTGTTGCTGTTTAGTATGCGGCACATACCTGTAATCTTAGCATTCCAGGAGGCTGAGGTAGAAGGATCACTGAAGTTTGAGGCCATCCTGGTCTATATAGTGAGATCCTGTGTTAACAGACAAGAAACAAAACAAAACAAAAAGATTGTAAAAAGCCAGGCGTGGTGATGATTGCCTGTAATCTTAACATTTTGGAATGCTGAAGTGGGAGGATTAGAAGTTTGAGTCCAGTCTGGGCACTTAGCAATTTAGCTAGAGCCTTTCACAAAAAAAAAAAAAAAAATTAAAAAGAGCTCGGATGTAGCTCGCTGTGAATGCCTTGAATTCAATCCCCAGCAGTGGAAAAAAAAAGTTGTGGGGAGGGTGAAGAGGGGGAGGCTGATCATACAAAATGTTGGTAAGCCTGGGGAGCAATTGAAATTCTTGTACACTGCTGGGAAGTGGGGAGGTACTACAAATTGCTATAGGAAACAGTTTGGCAATAGAGACTAAAGCTGAATATAAGCCTATATTATTACTTAACAATTTGATTTCTAGGTAGAGACTCAGGAGAAAATAACGTGCCAAAAGACATGCACATAGCATACTTTCATAGCACCTTTATTCAAAAGAGTTAA